GTTCAGCATGGTGACAATGACATTCACCTCAATGTGAAGCAAGGTCATGACTGGAATAGTGATTTGCTAAAAGAGAAAATCAAGCTGGACCAGCAAAGAGGGTTTGTCCATAAGGTTTTCATTAACAATTATGTCCGGACTGATAGGTCTCATGGATTTAGGGCTTTGATTGTTATGGAAGACCATTCATTGTTGCTGTTACAGCAAGGTGAGGTTGTCTGGAGAAGGGAGGATGGCCTTGCCTCAATAATAGGTGTTACTACATCCGAACTTCCTGTGGAAAGAGTAGGTGTTTCTGTGGCAAAAGTGGAGCAGAACCTCTTCGAATGGCTTAAGGTATGATCTAGTTGTTTCTTTACAAGTTACGTTGGCTTACTGAAGATGAAAGTTGCCAAAAATCACTCTTTCAAGGCTTGAACAAGATTCTGGTTATGTTCCTCGGGTTTCTTTACTTTTTCTCCGTCCTTAATCTCCATCTTTTTTAAACTTCCCTATTTTGTAGTAGAGTGAGGTAGCAATAATTGTTTGCTATCATATTCACTCCTTTGTTTGAAAATATATCTCATCGACTTCTTCACAGACTGATTTTGACACATGATATTTTGTTGTTCTAAGGGACACATGCTAAAGGTTAAAGGTACGTTAATGCTTGCAAGTGCTGAGGAAGTAGCAGCCATACAAGGCATGAGGTTGAAAAGCTCTGAGAAAAGTAAAATGACCAGGGATCATAATGGATTCCGAAAGCTGCTCATTGTGCTCACTAAATCTGGGAAACTTTTTGCATTGCACACTGGAGATGGACGAATTGTCTGGTCTCTCTTATTGAACTCTCTACGTCAAACAGAAACATGTCAAAATCCAACAGGGATTAATCTGTACCAGTGGCAGGTTCCTCATCATCATGCTATGGATGAAAATCCATCTGTTCTGGTAGTTGGCAAGTGCAGACCTAGTTCTGACGCACTGGGAATATTGTCCTTTGTTGATACTTACACAGGGAAGGAGCTTAATTCTTTTGGTCTTGATCATTCTGTTGTACAAGTAATTCCACTCCCATTCACAGATGCAACTGAACAACGTCTGCATCTACTAATAGATGCTAGTGGACAAGCGCATTTGTACCCAAGATCGGCTGAGGCTGTTGCTGTTTTTCAACGTGAGTTTTCAAACATTTACTGGTACTCGGTAGAAACCAACAACGGTGTTATTAAGGGACATGGATTGAAGAGCAATTGTGATGGTGAAGTCGCAAACAACTATTGTTTTGGTACCAGAGAAATATGGTCCATTGTATTCCCCTCAGAATCAGAAAAGATCATTACAACTGTAACAAGAAAATCAAATGAGGTAGTGTTTGGTTTTTGGTCAAAATTTTTTATGAATGCCACTTCTTTCTGTCTTCAAAGATTTATTCACTTTACAATTCATTAACTGCTTTTGCCGGTTAGTTTTCTTAAGTAACTTTTTGATTGATTGGGATTACAGAAAACCTTTTAAATGAGGCAAGCAGGCATGGTTTTCAACAATTGCGATAGTTGTTCTATCAGGATATGCAATTTTTGGCTAATTAACTTAGTTATGTGCAAAATATCATGGATCTTCATTTATTCCTGAGACTAAATGTTGGGATTAATTACAGTAAACATTTTTTTTCCTCAGGCTTTGAATTACACGAGGACTGTTTTTCAGGCATTTTTAGGGTCCAAAAAATCACAAAGTTTCTGTAGATTAAACCATTTCTTCTTGTTTCTTTACCAGAACCTCAATATCAACCATTCAGCTTTATCTAAATGAAGGTTCTGTCAGATAGCAACTTTAGACATAAATTCATTAGGATATCAATCTGCTGACATTTTCCCATTATATGTTTAATTGAGGGTCATCTGCATTTGTCTCCAGGTAGTTCATACTCAAGCAAAGGTTATAGCTGATCAAGACGTGATGTACAAGTATATATCAAAAAATTTGCTTTTTGTGGCCACTGTCTCACCAAAAGCCAGTGGAGATATTGGATCAGCCACACCAGAAGAATCACAGTTGGTTGTCTATGTTGTTGATACTGTTACTGGTCGTATATTGCACCGAATGATTCATCATGGCTCACAGGGTCCTGTCCATGCAGTGAGTTTCACCTTCCATTTTTTATGTTTAAATGATATGCCTTACCTTATGCATTTTCACCTTTTCGTAGGTTTTTAGTGAAAACTGGATTGTCTACCACTACTTCAATCTCAGAGCGCACAGATATGAGATGACAGTTATTGAAATTTATGATCAGTCTCGGGCAGTAAGTAATCAATCTTTACAATTTTATGCAATTTTGTTTGTCTTCTTATTCTAAACAGGTTTACTTTTGCAAATTGAAATTCAGGACAACAAAGATGTTTTGAAGCTTGTTCTTGGAAAGCACAATCTCACTTCACCTGTTTCTTCATATTCGCGACCTGAGGTCACAACAAAGTCACAGTCTTACTATTTCACCCATTCTGTTAAAGCAATAACAGTTACATTAACTGCTAAGGGTATTACTTCGAAGCATCTTCTTATCGGGACAATTGGTGATCAGGTTGGTTACAATCTTTTAAGAAACTGGATTCTATTGTTGTTTCCTATTTTCTTTGTGACAACACTTGGGGTTTAATGACGTGTATTTCCTTCTGCAAAGATGGATATGTTGACCGAATGTAATTAAATGCTGTACAGGTCTTGGCGATGGATAAGCGTTTCTTTGACCCTCGTCGGTCAGTTAACCCCACACAGTCAGAGAAGGAAGAAGGAATTTTACCTCTCACAGATTCATTGCCTATCATTCCTCAGGTGAGTTGCCATATATATTATTCTCTTCCTTTTCCCCTGTAGTCTTCGTTTTACTTTTTATTTTTCAATCTCCTCAAGAGAAAACTTGATTTTTGCTGGATCTACCTTCCCTGGAAGTGGTTCATATGCATACACAAAAAATTAAGCTGCAAGACACAGTATAGGAACTGATTCCACATTAATTAATCTAGAGCTTGGAGTGATCCATCGTTGGATCCTGTTTTGTTTTCCTCCAACTATCTTTCACCCAAAATAGTTTTGGTTTTTCCTTGAAGATTTTGGTTTGGTTACCAGTAGCACCTGATATATTTTCTGTGACAAGGAGCTGCAAGTAAAATACTTGGAAGTTAATCCATATAAGTGGAAGTAATTGCAGTCTTTGATTGTGAGTGCATGTGTGATGGTTTTTCCTTGGGGATTTCTTAGTCAACCTATCCCATAACTAGTTAATAGCAATGCAACTACCTATACAACAAAGCTTGTTAAGTACATGCTAGTGTTTATGTCAGAATCTGGAATATTGTAACTATCGTAACATTTAGCAGCGCATGAAATGATTGCTCTTAGCACTCAAAACATTGAATTTTACATGCAGACATTCGTATGAAAACAATCTCCCCACCGGAAAAAATAAAATAAAAAGACACCCACGCACAAAAACATATTGAGAAATGGTTTCTGACCATGAGAGAAGATTAGAAATCAAGCTGAATCAGGGAACTTCTCCTCGTCTCCTGTAGATGGGACTGTTTCTTACTTTAGGGCTTCATGCTTTTATTTGATGATTTCTTTGTTTTTAATGAAGTCCGTTCTCAAACTGATCTGATTATTACTTCTTGCAGTCGTATGTTACACATTCCCTCAAAGTGGAGGGGCTGAGGGGCATAGTAACAGCGCCTGCAAAGCTGGAGTCAGCCACCCTTGTCTTTACATATGGTGTGGATCTCTTTTTCACTCGCCTTGCACCCTCAAGGACATATGATTCTCTTACAGAGGATTTTAGCTATGCCCTGCTGCTCATAACAATCGTTGCACTTGTTGTGGCAATCTTTGTGACATGGGTTCTGTCCGAGAAGAAAGATCTAAGAGATAAATGGAGGTGAATGCGTTTCTCTTCTAATCTCTCTGTACCCAAACTGTTTTCTTTCTTATTTATTTTACACTCGAGTTACTTCTACTGGAATCAGATTAGGAGATACTCCGAACTTGTAATGTTAATTTTGTAGCATTTTCTTTCGATGGCATTTTTGTGCTTGCCATTATCACATTTGGTCATTATGTAAATTTGACGTTATTAGGGCAAGAAAATTGATATTTTTACCGTCCTCTGTACATGCCGGGTACGTTCTTGTTATCTGAGACTTTTTTTGGAGGGGAATACTAAACGGGCAGAAAAATGCTGGACTGTAAAAGCGAAAGCTGGTAAAGTGGCTATTTTTATTTAAGAATGGGGTCAAAATTTGACTGGTTATTGGTAACAATTCTGGTTTCTGAAACTGGGATGGAGATCTGGGCCATAGTTGTACGAACCATTTTTTTTTTAGGTTTTTTTTTTTCAGTCACAAGCCTTCCTAGCTAGAGAAGCCATTATTGACGCCCACAGGACTTGAAAGATTGGTGTTTGGACTTTGGAGAGTTAGAATTTTCGCCCATGCCATCAATTCGAAGAAGGTGCAAGGACTCATTGAATGGTGATTGTCATTATAATTGTACTTTGTCTGTCGACAAAAAAATCTAACAGACCTACTGTTTGCCACTATTCTTTAGTGATGAGAAGATTGATTTAGCAATGGAGGGTTGACCTGTTGCCATGTTATTTTCAGTAAAGCGTTAATGAGACTTCTCCATCTGAAGTATGCACGATCCATCTTACCTTTTACCTCAAAGATGAAAATGACACTGACTGTAATTCGCTAGATCTTTTTGGAGTCTCTGTCCCATTCAGCTCCCAGTCAAGGACACTCTCGTGAGCATCTCTGCACTGTTCCACTGTCCAAAGTGATCAGTTCCATAATCCTGTTCCTCTCTCTCTTCCATAATTGAGAGCTCCCAACAACCACTTCAATGCCACGGAAAACACCTAAAAAGCTTAAGACAGCACAGCTCTCTTCAAGAACACTCAATCTCCCCATCTATCTTAGGGTTCTCCATAGAAGTAACTTACACAAGCTTGCATTTCTACCATGAAAACCCACCATCCAAAACTCAAAACACAGCCGCGTCCACTCTTTTCTTGTGGTTTCTTTCGGCAATGCACAGAAACTACTCTTAGTCCCACCACTCCTAACCCACCTTCTCTCCCTATCTCCTCCACTACTCCACCACCACCACAGACAGCAGCAGCACCACCTCCACCGCCGCCACCACCACCACAACAAAAATTATTTAACCAAACCCACCAAAAGTCCACACAAGCTGAATCCTCTTCCTCCTCCTCCTCCTCCACTACTACCTCCCAAAGCTTCACTCAGTGGAGATTTCCTCTATCGAACTCCCCACTCCACCAACCCACACCCGAAGCCGACCCAAATCAAGACTCCACCTTTATACCACCATCGCCACCACCGAAGCACTCCACCGACCTCCAAGAACTTCTCCACCTTGCTGAGCCGCAGCTTACCAACGGCTCAGAAACCGAGCAACTTTCTGCTCTATATCTCTTAGAACGTTCACTAGTACCCGACCCGCCATCCGACCCGGTTTGCTCACCCGAATTAATGCGCGGGGTGGTGGCAAATTTGAAAAACAAAGCAGGGGTAAAACCGGCAACCAAAATTTTATTCGCCCTTTGCTTGGCGGAGGCCAACCGCCACGTCGCGGTGGAGGCTGGGGCGGTGGGAACGCTGGTGGAGGTGGCGATGGAGCTCGACGGAGCTCCGGCGGAGAGGGCATTGGCGGCGTTGGAGCTGACATGCACGGTGGCGGAAGGGGCAGCGGAGCTCCGGGCACATGCGCTTGCGGTGCCGGTAATGGTGACAATGATGGGTAAAATGGCTGGAAGGGGCAAAGAGTACGCGATAAGTGCTCTCGCTGTGATTTATGGGATTTGCGGAGCTGGGGCTGATGGGGAGCAAGAGGTCCACGCGCCTCCAGAGGAGGTGGCGCGTGCGGTTGTGTTGGCTTTACAAGGGGATTGCACCGCTAGAGGGAGGAGGAAGGGGGCCCAGCTCTTGAAGGCTCTTGAAGAGTATGGACGGGTGAGTTTAACTCAAGAGGGGAATGAACCCCCGTGATTTGACTTCGATTTGCATGTCATGGACGAAGGGAGGAAAGGAGCTCCATGAAGCTTCTGCATGAAAATAATACTTCAGTATATCGTATCATGAACCCATGTACTTATAGAAATTAATGATTGTTATTTTAATTTATCATTAACACTAGTTGTGTTATTTACTATAAAAACTGCCATATTCTTCCTTAAAACTCCAACAAATTCTGCTTCATCTTTGTCAAACGAACCCCGAGGAGCTGGCAATATCGGACTCAGCTAGTTTATCCCAATAATTATCAGTTTAGGAATCATTAAAAGTTTAACAAAAGGAAAAGATTAGATTGCTTTAGGAGGAAAAGTTGAGATACTGCATGATGGCTAAAATTAATGCATGCATTTGTGGTGACTATATTCAAATTATTAGGGAACCTTCTTAATGCTATCAGACATTCATATCCATTAAAGATTAAGTGTTGTATTTTGTGTTGCTGACCACATTGAGACGTGGGCCTTCAAGTAATGCAATAATATGGACGGTATTACAGCAGTTTTTGTTATTAAAGTATTGTTTTTTTTTTTTTTTGGATACAAATTATGTAATTTAAACTTTAAATTTAGCATAGGAAATTTGATAAATTTTATACAAATGTTTTAATTTTTATTATTTGTAACGGTTAACTGCTAGTTGACTGTTACTTAAATTTATTTTGTTTATAGGTTTTTTTTTTTTTTTTAACTTTTCTCAATTATGTCTCTATTTCTTCTTTCTTCATTTATTTTTTTCCTTTTCGGTCTTTTTTTTTCTTTTAGCTTTTTTTTTCTATTGTTTATTTTTTCAATTTTTCATGATTTTTTGAAGTTCTTTTTTCAAAATTTTATAAAAAATTATTTATTCAAAAAATATATTTTTTTAATTCTTTGTTAAATTTTAAAATGTTGGAACATTTTGAGGGGAAGTTCCTTCTAATAAAAAGAGGACAAGTTTATAATTTGGTATTCTAAAAATAATAGATATTTCACCGATTAATAGAAAAATTAAAGATAGTACTTGATCAACCGTTTTAATAGTTTTAAAAAAGTTGATATATTTAAATATAAAAAAGTTAAAATCTATATACTTTATTGAAAAAATGAGGGCAAATTTATAATTTTATATTCTGAAAGTAATAAATATGTCATCATTTAATAAAAAAAATTGACCAAAGTGCTTAATTAATAGCTCTAAAAAAATTAGTATACTCAAATAAAAAAAGTTAAAATTTAGATATTTGGATTAGGAAAAAAAAATTGAAATTTGGTTTACTCTAATAATTATCTTTGAATTCCTTTTTGTTTACAGGTAAGGCTTCCGAAGATTTTCCAGCGACCGGAAGGTTTATATATGATGCACATTGAACAACCCATACATATAGTTAGCCAAGCTCCTAAATCGTGAATCAAATCATGCTCTTGCAAAAATGATTGATTCAGTTAATTTTAATATTTCAGTGAATCGCCTGGATTACTTCTATCATTATCATCTTGGAAAGTAAACTTTCAAATCCTCATTCCTTGATGGAAAATGGCACTACCAAATTGACCCACCAACCTCTCTCTCTTTTGGGTTCAATGAAGATAATATCACGGAACTTCCTTTCTTCCAATAAACATCACCATGTTGCTGTCCAATACGACCGGTAACAGCAACAATTTTCCCAAAATCCAAACTTGATTCTGAGATGCATTCAAGAACAAGATCAAGAGCCTCTAGCCACATCAAGGTGGGGGGAAATAATTCTGCCATTATCATAAGAGTCTCTTAACGACTTCTTTTTAGTCTCGTAAATGAATTTGATCAGATGGAACTCTCTACAGGAAATTTTTTGATCCTTTTATGAATAGATTTTCATATAAATTTGTGTCTTTCTAGCTTCGCAATACCGTTGATTGTGGTTCGGAAGACACTAGTTTTTAGCAGAACAAGCAGGATTCAAGTCCTTTATTTCAGATGAAAAGGATAATCTAATAATAAAAAGGTAATAACTATTGGTAGTTTAAAATGCCATAATTTAATAGAATTCTCCCCCTCAAAAAAGATATATATATATATATATATACGCGCCATAGATTGGATCTTCCAGTCTACGTCACATGTCAAACGTCAAGTATTAGAAGTTTAATATGAATAGCTAAGGAGGCAAAAGAGACAGTATTAGGGAAGTAATGTTAATAGTTACGACGAACTCAATTAGCACTATTATAAAAAATAAATAACTATTCTGGCTTTCTTTTATAAAAAGTTTTTTTTTTCAAGTTTAAATATTTTTAATAGAAGATTTAAACTCTCGTAATTTTTTTGCAATCACAAAAAAACTCGCGGTCACCGTATTAAAGCGTATTGATTCTATTAGAAAAGATTTCATTCCAAACAAAAAGAATTCTTTCATCAAATCCATTACGTAAAAATCAATTCTGTAAAGAATTGGTTCCAAACGCACTGTAACAGTAATAATATTTGCTGTTTAAACAATGAAGTGACATATGTAGTGGATGGATGACCGGTTTGAATGATTTCAAGATGCATGAAGTCCACATCTGATGGCCAGGCCTGAATAGGTAAGGTAGGCATGCCTCCAAGAATATCACAAGTGGGTCCCGAATAATAATACATTAATCGAAAAGTTAAGCCTGTGAACCCCACGAATCCAAGGAAATCATCGTAAGTTTTGGGATATTAATTGTTTATTTCAAATTTTATTATCGCAGATAGATATTAATGTAATGTGAATGGTTTTGTTTACGTTAGTATTAAGCATCCCATTGATAAATATACAGAAGATAGCTGTCATCCTTAAAGTTCCAAACTCAATAATTTATCCCAAGTGACCACGTCTCTCTCTCTCTCTCTCTCTCTCTCTCAAGTCTCAGATGCTTGAACTCATTGACTTTCGCAAAAGACAAGGTAGCGGTAGCATGCAATCCAGATTAGTGTCCAAACTATTTACTTAATAAATCTTGGCGTATAATTTATGTAAGAGATGGGGAGACCCCATTGTAATCTCCCTTCAAAGCATTGCTTTTGCAACAAAATTCCATTTTATAGGACTTTACCTACCATATTCTGCATTTCGCATTAACAATCAGAAGCAAAAACCAAGGCTTCATGTTCCACTTCTGGTGGCTCCTTGGTGCCTTGCACCTCGTTCTTTGGGGTTCAACCATCACACATGCCACGCTACCACCACCCCCGGTTCAATGCAACGACACTGGCTGCACTCTTTTCAACTCCTACGGTGTATGGAATGATAGAAAAGATTGTCATGTTCCAACCATCACTTACCCTACAAATGAAGAAGAGCTAAGGCTAGCTGTAGCGCATGCTAATCAAAATAACCTCAAGGTTAAGGTGGTTAGCCGATTTTCACACACGATACCCAAGTTGGCCTGCCCTGATTCTCAATATGGCAATTCAATGTTAATAAGCACATTAAAGTATAATTCAAGCATTGAAATTGACGAGGCTAATTTAGCTGTGACAGCTGATGCCGGCGTAGGTCTACGCGAGCTTATCGATGAGGTTGAACGAGCTGGATTCAGCTTAGTTCCAGCACCATATTGGGAGGGTGTGAGTGTTGGAGGACTAATTAGTACTGGGGCACATGGGAGTTCATGGTGGGGAAAAGGTGGAGCCGTCCATGATCATGTTATTGGCCTCAGCCTTGTAGTCCCTGCAAAAGAATCTGAAGGATATGCAAAAATTATCAGAATTGGAGCCAAAGATCCACTCTTGAATGCAGCAAAAGTATCATTGGGAATGCTGGGAGTCATCTCTAAGGTCAGTTCCAAATTCTTTCATTTTGTTACTGTCCTAGACTCCAACTTTATGCTCATGATGTTCAATTTGTTTACTTGGTGAATTAATTTATTGAACAAAAATTCCTGAATGAAAAACAGGTGAAGTTATCACTAGAGCCAGCATTCAAACGAAGCATAACATATAATTCCACAGACGATACTCACATAGAGGATATATTCATGGATCATGGTAAGAAATATGAATTTGCTGATGTTACTTGGTACCCTTCGAGGCATACAGCGGTGTACAGATATGATGACAGAGTTCCCTTAAGCGCCTCTGGTGATGGAGAATATGATTTCCTTGGATTTCAGGCTAACTCAATTGTGGTCTCCAAATCAACTAGATCATCAGGTTTTGTTTCTTGATCCCGTTAATCTTGTAAATGTAGGCTAATAAAGAGGAGAGTTTTTTCGACTAATGAATGTGAAAATATGCAGAGAAATTATTGGAGAAAGCACGTAATGTGAAAGGAAAGTGTGCCTTGGCAACAACATTTGTGGGGTTTAAGAAGTTGGTGGCCAATGGATTGAAGAATGGACTAATCTTTACAGGCTATCCAGTAGTGGGCCATCAGGGAAAAATGCAGACCTCAGGTTCATGTTTATATTCAACAAGAATCGACACTTCTTGTGCTTGGGATCCAAGAATTAGTGGCCTGTTCTTTTATGAGACAACAGCAATATTTCCTGCTTCGAAGTTCGGAGATTTTCTCCGCGATGTCAAAAAATTGAGAGACCTCAAAGCAGATAATTTTTGTGGGGCCGATATATATAATGGATTCCTGATAAGATACATCAAGGCTTCTCCGGCATATTTAGGCCAATCTGAGGAATCGATAGTTCTTGATTTTAATTATTATCGTGCTGATGATTCGTCAACTCCAAGGCTAAACCAAGATGTATGGGAAGAAGTGGAGCAAATGGCGTTCTTCAAATATGGGGCAAAACCACATTGGGCTAAGAACAGGAATTTGGCATTCTTCGATGTCCAACATAAATATCCTAATTTCAACAAGTTTGTAGCAACAAAGAAGCAATTGGACCCTAAAAACATGTTCTCCGGTGAATGGTCAAATGAGATATTGTTTGGTACACAAGCCGTGAAAGCTGATGGATGTGCCTTAGAGGGGCAATGCACATGCTCAGAGGATAGACATTGTAGCCCCAAAAATGGGTATTTCTGTAAAGAAGGTCTGGTTTATAAAGAAGCTAGGGTCTGCAGGCATTCATGATCATCAGCTACAAAAACAACATTTATCATATTTTGGCCACCGCCAAACTTCATTATTGCGATTGTATTCGTTCCACTTTTGTAGTTGTTTCACAATGTGAAATAATGGATTCAGTTCAAAAAGAGTAATCCATAAAAAAGGAAATGGATGACACCTGAAAAGTATTTGGCATGGCTTCAAATCCATAATTCCTTAGTGGGCCAGATGAGTGGAGCGCATTCATGATGTACCCACTTTTTTTCTTACTGTATTATTATTTTTTTTCCAACAACAAAATTACTGAAGAAGTAATTTTGAAATAAATTATTAGATATATTTAAAATCGTATTTTTTTTTTTTTTGAAAAAAATTGAGATATGTCATAAAAATAATTTATGAGCTCTATTTTTATATGAAGAAGTAATTCCGGATAAATCTTCACTGCATGATGCACAAAACTCAAATCCATATATATATATAGAATTAAATGTCTATAATGCCATTCTACTATTTTATTTATTTTAATTATGTCCCTTTATTAATTTTTTCAATAATCGTATCTCTCTATTCTTAATTTACTTCTTAATTTTATCTCTCCAATCAATTTTTTTGATAATTACATTAATTTTCAACGACATATGCATAGGATGTTGACAAGTGATATTTAAAAAATAATAATAAAAAACATTAAAAAATCTGAAAAAAATTAAAAAAAAATCCCCAAATGATCTTCTTTTTTTCTATTTTTATGTATAAAAATAAATAATTAATTTCATCTCTCGACTTTTGTTTGCTTCCTCTCAAATTCAAAAAAAAAAAAAATTTATATATAGGAAAGAACATAAGCAAGATTATTTTTATTTATTTCAAAAATTTATTTTAAATCCAGACACAAAAAAAAATTATGAAATTTTTTTCATAACATAAGAGCCAAAGCAAAAAGGAGGAAAAAAAAAAAAAAGGGTATTTTGAGATTTTTGTTCAGAATTTGGGAGAAAGCAAAAATCTCACATGTGTGTGTGTGAGAGAGAGAGAGAGAGAGAGAGATCCAGGTTAAATGATATTAATCAATAAGGTTAATTAGTTTGTCCAAACCTTCGCTAACTTTCAATAAAAAGAAACTTAGTTCTTGGATTTTTTGAAATTCCCGTTTTAGTCCCTGGTGCCATGATTTCTCCAAATTGAAAAAAAAAATGGGTGACGAGATGAGTAGCGGAGTTTCAGGCTTTTTATCGAGGGGAAAGCAAAGCCAACGAGAAGTTCTTTTGATTTTAAGTTTGAGGACGCAGCTTGAGGTAAACAGGAAATGTTTTGGAAAAGTTTGTAAGCAAAGGAGTCATGTCTACAAAGAAAGCTAGCCCAGGGGTGTCGTGCAGTATCAATGATATTCCTCCATGGAATCAATCCCGAACTGGTCAATGTATGGTAGACTTGTTAAAAGGGCAATACAGGTTTTATGAAGAGCTGGTTGGGTTGGGTTGGGTTTCGAAATTATTACGTAGACTTGCTTGACATAGGTGGGAGTGACAACTAATGGCTAGGCAGCTCAAACAATTATGTCATTCACACCTCTTTCCAAATTAATGCAAGGAAATTATATGGCTGTAAAATTTTCTGGCTTCCACACTTCTCCCTTTCGAGTGGAGGGCCCTTTATCTAGAACAATAGGATTATTAGTTCAATGATAAATTTTTTTCCTATTCTATTATGATTTAACAATTTTAATTTTATAATATTAAATTGTATATTTTGAATTTAAATTATTGAAAATTGAACGAGTATGATCCAAATTACTCGATCTTTGTGTAATAATCAACTGAATTGATCGTTATTTGAATTGTCAAAACGACTTTGTTTTGACATTACACTCGTTAACTATGTTTTTTTAAAAAAAATATTTTAAAAATATTTTTAACTCTCCTAATCTTGAATATTTTTTTAAAAAAACTTTCTTTTCTTATAAAATTTTTAACCTCTCAATCTTAAAATTTTTTAAAAATTATTGACCTCCTAATCTTGAACTTTTTACAAAAAACACTTTTTTTTTTAATAAAATGTTATTGTAAAAAAAAATATAATTAACAATACACAATTTCAAACCTAAAAAAAAATATTTTACAAATTAAAATGACTATAATTTAGGATTGACCCCGTAATTTTAGAAATGATATAAAAAAAAATTTATAAAATGTTTATAAAAAAAATTTCAAAATTGGGGTTTAAAAATTTTTAAAAAATATTTTTTATATAATTTATAAAATAATATAAATATTTTATAGGAAAAAAATATTAAAACGACGTCATTTTATTATTTCAAGTAACAATCAACTGGATCGCTACACATAATAAAAATTAGACAATTTGGATTGTATTTGTCTAATTTTTAATACTAAATTTATCATTAAACCTATAATTATTGACGACTAACGGTTATATATATATATATATATATATATATATATATATATATATATATATATTTTGGTTGTTGTTGTTGATTGTTCATTTGGCATTAATTATTGGTTTTTTTTTTTTTTTAACAATATAATAGATCAGTACGAATAAATTACAGAGTTTAAACTTGATCTAGGACCAGTTGTTTGGCGTTTTGCTATTGGCTTAATATTGCATTAGGTCTGAGACAAACGACAAAATTAAAAACAGAAACATTTTACTTGAAAATTTAATCACGCATATTCTAAATATGTATAAATTAATCTTCTTCTTTTTTTTTCTTTTTTTTTTTTCAATTACTATAAGGAGCATGAAATCAACACAAAAGAGAGGGCACAAGGGTCTGTGCAAAGACAAGATAAAATAAAATTATTTTACATAGCCGCTAAAAGATTTTGTAGCAATTAAAATCAACCATAAGATCCAGTATATTTATGTACGATATAAATGGGCTGATCTTCACATTAACTTTATGTTTCGAAACATCCAGTGACCTGAGTCTAATATCAGACCAAGTCTTATGTAATTTCTCTTCTTTATCATATATTTTGTCTGGTAAAGTTTCTTTTCTTTTTTCTTTTTACAATTATTTTTGCTATTATAAGAGATATAATTAATGTTCCATCCCAAATGTATAATTTATACAGGCATTTTCTACTATTTTTATTCTGTATTTGCTAACCAATTTATGCATGCATGGTGCTCTGCAATTTTGATTGAGAGTTGTCTCAGTAACATGGACTGCTACGTGATTAATTTGTAGATCATGCCTTCCTGCGGGTTCAAGACTACTTTTCTAAATTCTGTTTATTAGGCATATGTATATTGAATGGTTAAAAAATTTATTATTAAATATTAGAATATAATATAAATCATATCCCGAAATCGCATTTAATTATAATTTAAATTTTTGAGTGAGATTAGTTATGTGACATGGTATCGAGTTTTGCTAATTTAATTTTCAAAAGTTTGAATCATACCACCTCTCTTTTTTCTTTCAATTAATTAAGTAAATGGTTTTCACTTGAAAATGTGTGATAAAATAATATAAATTATATCTTAGAAAAATATTATAAATCATATCTTAGGTTTCACCTAATAGTTGAAATTTTTGAATGAAATAATCTTTTGATATTAAACAACGAAAATGAAATCTAATCAACATTGAAAAATAAAATAAAAAGTTTCTAATAATGCATTGGATTAATTGGTAATATTGTGGTATTATAGTTTGGCTTTCTTGGTATGATTTCTGACAAAGCTAATAACGAATTAATAGCATGTTTGGAATCCTCTAAATTTAATTCAATTAAAAAAATCTCACGTTTGGAACCGTTTTGATTGTTAGGAATTGAATTCCAAATGGAATTCAATATGTTATAAAATGATACAAAAATAAATCATATGCCAACCCACCCCTCTGATTTTCTGTAGGAAAAGATTTAGAATTTAATGTTAAAATTAGCTTCCCTAAGATACCCATCTATCCATCAGTTTTTTATTTTTTATTTTTTCACTCTTCTGTCACCAGTCAACATTAAACGTACATCACCATTAAAACCCTCCACTACACCTCTACCAAAACACTCTTCTTTTATCTTTTCATACCAATATACCATCTCAACTCATATTGTCTATCCTATGTAACTCAATTTTCTATAGCTTTGAGAAAGCTGGGCTTTAGAGATGGGTATTTGGATTTGATTTTATGGGTTATATGGGTTGATGATAGTGGAGGAGAATGAGGGAGATAGACAGACAAAATAAGAATTGGGTGGTTGGAAATAATTAAGAGTATTGAGAGTATTTTTTAATGAAGAAAATGGAGGAGATGAGAGTAATATATATATATATATATATATATATATATATATATATAGGAGATAAAATGAATTAAAATCAGTGGTAAAATTTTATCTCTTCTCTGCAAACATGTGAATTTCAACTTATTTATCAATCGAATTCAATTTTAATGGTGAATTAGTTTCGAACATACTGTAATAGTACCGTGCATGGAAGCTTCCAGGTTGGGTTTACTTGGTTTTTCCAAACTTCAACCTTCACTCATTCTATATCCTTGCTCGTAGCTAGCTACAAACAGTTCTTGTTTGAGATTAAGAAACTTTTACAGACAGATGATGCTGGATTTTAATTTTTTTTCCATCTTTCTCAGGAACAACCTTACAGGATGTCACAGGATCATATCATAAATATGTTTGTTGCTCAAATATACTATTTCTGCATAAGTTCTTGTTTTTTTTTTTAACACATCGTATGAACTATTAATTATGTTAACTTGGAAACTTTACTTTGAAGAGCTACTTTTTTCTTCTAACTAGGGTCACTGTTTCTCTTTATATATATATATATATATATATATATATATATATATATATATATATATATATATATATATATATATTGAGTTTTATTTCACATAAAAATGAAACTAAATCTATCAAATCAACATCAAAGCACGTTTGGCTTTCAGTTTAAAAGCAAAATTCTCAATTTTTTTCGTTTTCCGGAGAAAGTTTAAAAGCCAACTTTATACGACTGCTTTCAGTTTTGATAAATATATATATTGTGTGTGTGTCTACTGTTTTCTGATTCAAACACAGATATAGGATGAGCCTGCAACATCAGAACTGAGAGTAAGAAAACAAACCAGCCATGTCCATCCCTTTTCACTTGATCGATATTTCTCTCCAACCAAGCGTGCGGCACGTGTCAATGTATGAGAGGGAGATGAGAGAGAGTTGATGGTTCAATAAAGTTGATAAAAGTGTGCATGTATATATATATATATATATATACACATACATACATACTGTAGTCCAAGGGGTTTCCAAGGGGGTGAACAACCACCAACCCCGCCTGTCTGGAACCCTACCAGCTTGCAACCTGATACATATTCAGCAACACCAATACACCATTAATATGGATACAAGATCTTAACTATCCATCTGCATGTTGCAAGCTGGTAAGGTTCTCGAGAGGCGGGGGTGGTGGTTCTTGTTCAGCCACTTGGAAACCCCTTGGACTACAGTGTGTGTATATATATATATATATATTGCCATCAAGATGTCACCAGGCTATGATATGTCATGCACGTGATGATAGTTAAGTGGGTCCTAGCTAGGTATTGGGGGAATATTTGACAGAGAGTATTATGATCAGAAGGAAAGGGCGTCGGAGGGGATGAGACGAGACAATACTGTAGTGCTGTGCTGTTTTTGGGTTTTGAAGGGAATTATTATTAGTGGTAGGGAAGGAGTATTGGTCAGGGGCAACTGCCAATGCTGTGGTTTTGGGTCCTTTGACAATAGGGATATATTTTTTGGTTTTTTTCAGTTATTTCCGTTCCACAAGATAATTATATTTGATTTTGAGGATGAAAACCATAAGTTTAAACTTTTCTTAGCAAATATAATTTTAAATTTCGAATTCTCATGAATATTGATAAAAAAAATTATCTTTAGACCAACTCGATTACTACCGATCAATAATTTATTGGTGATAATAGGAATATATTTATAATTAGTTGGGATCATCTTCAAGGTATCCTAATTATAGCTGGCTAGGATTTATTCGTTTGGGGGTGGGTACGCATTTTCTTTAATTAGGATATACACCTAGCTAGTCCAATAGAGCAAACAAATATATATTATATTACTATTATAAAAACATTATATGGGAGTATAGTTAATTAATTGATTAAAGGGATAGAAATAACAAATCCAAGTGGAACGAAGAGAAGCCAATAGAGCAATGGAATAGAATAAGTTCTTGGAATAAAGGGTTATTGAGATGCATGCATTGTGAGATATATTTCTTGATGCGGCTAATATATCATGTTTTGTTTTATTATTATTGTATATTTTATTTTGAATAAAATTTATAAGTGATAATTAAAAGTTTAGAGTTTATGGAACTCTCTAGTGGTGGGCTAGACACAACTGTAATGAATGAAAGTATAAAAATAAAATAAATTAAAAAAAAATCTCTAGTTTAGTTATATAAATATTACGTAAGATCATGTGTCATCAATCAATACACAGAAAATTAAAGATATTGACATATATTAGAAAACTTTTTTTCTTGAGGACTCTAACTTTTTTAGAACAATTACTTGAGTAATTACTCAATCTTAATGGTTATATATATTCTATTAATTTTTACTCTAATTATATATTTTGACACATTTAATTTATTTTACATGTATTAGATTTAAGAGCTCCATTCAAAAGTAAAATTCGAATTTGCATGCAAACTTTATTCCTTGACCAGTAACCCAGCTGGGTTAGAAGAGAAATATTAGAATAAAGTTTTCATTTTGTCCAAGATAGCAAAAGTTCCTCTAACTTAGTATAAAAATGTTAAGAAATATCAATTGTTAAGCAAGTAATTAAAGCTCTATATGAATATCATGTCTGTTTTTTTTCGAAATTATTATATCAGTACTGATCAGCATTTAATCCATTGAACTGGTAGAAAGTTTTCCTATGCGTGTTGGTGTTACCATGAAGAGTAAGTTCTCAAGGACCACAAAAATAAAGAAGAAAGAGAAACGCTGTCATTTTTAACCTCTTTTTTAGTTTGTTTTAACAGTATTAACATATGTAAATGGAAGTTTATGTTTTTCCTAAGACCGATTATTAGGGTTTTGAAACTAATTTAATTTTAAATTAATTAATTAATTCAATGGAAGCTCCTAATCAAAGACTAAGTCGGTCTTTATTGCGCAAGCCTCTCTGGTTGAGACAGAGAAATATATGTACAATTCAACATGTCATCATCTGAAGCCAAAGTTGTCAGAAATAATTGCATAAAGTGGGATATCTCTTAGCTATGCTGAAAGAAATATTTATACCAATTTAAGTCCGTCAAACAATTTAAGTACATCTTTTAATTTCTAAAATCATATTTATTGAAAAAATTAAATTTTATTGTTTTAAATTCGAAACATAGTTAGTTAGTCTTATTTTTAAGATAGAGATGTTTCAAGAAAATCAGAAAAATAAGAAAAAAATATTTATATCACAAGAACATTTTGGGGTACACTTAATTTAAAATAACGAACACAAATTAAATAAATTAATGGGAAGCAAGGCATAATTAATTCACAAAAGGACTGGGCAAACCGATTTCAAGTTGTATGAAATTTTATTCGTCCGTTGTCTATTAATTATATATCAATACAGTTATTTTAATCTAATGTACTACTTCAAATTTACATGCGTTCCTTTTTATTGAAAATAATAATAATAATAATACTCATCGTGTTTTGACTTATTTGAATTTTAAGACTGGCCAATTATATATAAAATTAAAAAATTTAGATTATGTTTCATTAAAAAAAAAACTTAATTTTTATGATGGGTGATCCTTTTTAAACTTTATATATTAATTATTTTTAATTCAATGACCATATACATAATTAAATGTGTATATAAGATTTATGACAATTGTTTTAAATTGTGGTTGTCATGGCAGTTTCGATGGAGGCATGGATTATGAACTTATGGGGTGTTTAATAATAATTACAGCTATCATTATTGTGAATCATCAATAAGTTTTAACAAATCTTAATAATATATATATAATCGATCGAACAACCAATAACGGTCATTATTGTTGTATAATAAGAGTATTATACCTGCTATTATTGCGAGTCATCATCAAAAGAACTACAAGGCTGAATAATGATGACGGCTTTTTTTTTTTCCTTTTTTTCATCATTTTATATTTATTTTAGAAAAACACAACTCGATCATAATTTTCTCATGTGACTTATATAACATATTCATCCGAAGCCAGATATTTGAATGAAACATTAATTATACAAAGATATGTGGAATTTTCATTTTTAATTAGAGTCAAGTGTTGTGTATAAATAAAATTTGTATTTCTTCAATTTAAATATATATGGAAGTCAATGAAGATCTAGTTTTTTTGTGATTTCTCACAAAAATTTATTTTGATCTCAAAGGATACGCCTCTTCTGGAAAAAAAAAAAAAAGAAAAATGAAAGATTAGCTTGTCAATTTATGTGAATGTCATTTTTTGCCGTGTGCTTTCAAGCAAAAAAAATCTGTAAAAACCCATTATCATTATACAAGCATTCTTTCGCCTTACTAGCTAAGCTATCTTTCCAGTTCAAGTCTACTACTAAACATTCTAGTGGTACACAATCAAATGCTATTATGCTAGAACTATATTATACTATGAATCAATAAAAATATTTATGATTTGATATATAATAAATTTTCCATCATTTTTTACTGACAAACGGACTGATTCGATAATTAATATAATCTTTGTGAATCATCAGAATATCTTAATCTCATTTTATTTTTATTATTTCTAATTAATATGGAATCAAAACTTCTTTTTAAGGTCAATTATTTTTTTTCTGCTTATTTCTTTTTGTTGGTTTCCTAGGCCTGCAACAACGAACACCGTCATAACCTTCGCCCTATTCTCTACCTTACAGTCAAGTTTTGTCTTTTGATATATATATATATATGAGGGTGTGTTTTAACACACCATATTGTTTTTGCCACGTGCTAATCTTAGCATGTTATAATAAGCTTTATTATGGCGACATGACTCTCCCGTCTTACTAAGACTGTAGTGGTCTGTAAGGGAAAAAAATTGATGTAGTTTGCATGTCAAGATGTATAGTTTTAAAACGGAAAAAGACATTCAATTTATTATATTGGCATTCAATTATGATGCACAAAATTCAAGCTTTTAAAGAAACAAAAATGATAACTTTTTTTTAAAAAAAAACATTTTGTAAAAATATTTTTAAAAGTTCTGTCATTCCACTGCGGTAGTTTTCCGTTCAAACATGCTCCTGCTTTGCCCCTAAAAGGGAACTGGGTTTTCGAAAGACAGTAAGATATTGAACAAAAGTATTAGACAGGGCCTCAACTTTTTAAAAGGATGCTCTGGTTGATATTGGAACCAAAAACAATCCCATAAGAATAAAGTAAAAAAAAGGGCACTACCCAATCCTTATCAACAGTTTCTTTGATTGAAACCGAAAGCCAGTCCATTAGGTTAATGAGTAAGATTTGTCTCCATGACCTGCTATGATCTGTTTCCATCTAACCCAAATCTTCCTAACACATTGTCTTTTTCCCTTACGTTCCAAAAGATTACAAGTCTCCTTTTGATTTTCTTACCTTATAAATTACAACACTGAAGTACAGCTGACAGTGGCTGACTTGATGAACACCTTAGCGATCTCCAGCTAAAGGTGTTCAATTATTATAGTAGCTAATGCCCTGTTCTCTAATTCCATTCCCACTTCCTGATCAGACTAGAGCCAAAAGCCATCATTGAAGTAGAAGGAAGCCCTTTTGAGATGTCAGGCTTTGCTGGAACCTTGCAGGGTAGTCACACCAAAATACAACTGAAATGCAAAAGTACATACATAAACAGTTACTTGTGGATCTCAAGGCATATGTAGGTATATATACACACGCCTGATAGTGCACCCAGAATGCTTCCATAACTCAGTTGCAGAGATTAGAACGCCACAAGACCTGGAGTAGATGGAATCATGGTTCCATAATTAATATCGATTCCAGCAGTTGCTACCTGATCTTCATAAAGCTTTTGACTTTTTCTGATTTTGTAGAAGCTGGCAAGAGAAGCACGACTTCACCTGCTGAAATGAAATAAGAAATTCAAGAAAAAAGCCATGCAAAGACTTCTGAAAGAAGCCATCTAATTATCCATTCAGTTAAAAGGTGAAAATTAATCAAACAGAAAATGATGGAGGCTACAAAAAGCTACCGGCATTGAAGTTTATGACAATCATGACATTGGAGGTCGTCCACGGCCTTTCACAGCAGGAAGCTTCCTCTGTCGTTTGGGTCCATCCAATTTAAGCGGGTGAGATCCATTTACAAAAGGAACTTCCTTTTCAAATTTTAGGTCTTCACCTGCAATCATATACATATTTCCAGCTTCCGGTATGGTAAAATCAGCAGGGTTTCTGTTCATGCTGCAAACTTCAGTGTCAGAACTACTTCTATGGGGGTGAACAGTTCTGTTGTTAGCACGGGACTCCAACTTGTGTTTGTTTGGGTTGTCCAATGCACGGAATGGCAATGAAAACATTGAAGAATCTGGGGCACCAAAAAACATTGTCTGCATGTTATGAGCTGGAATGGATCCACAGTTGGTTCCAAAACCACCATATGCTGATTTCTGTGATCTATTTACTTTATTCTCTGTGCGTGAATCGGAGCCTTTTCTCTTCTGTTTATCTTGAGTAACTTGACTGGGAAAATCAGTAGCCTTCCTAATGCCTTTATCATGTCGAATTGATGAAGAAGATGCACCAGCTGTTGTTTGAATGACAGGAATAGGATCATGGGAATTCTCTGCAAGTTGATTTTTACCATGATGATTCGGTGGTCGGTGCTTCACAGAATTAATAGCTTTAAATGCCCCGGTGTCCAGCCTAGAAAACTCCTTAGATTCAGGATTGTGAGTAATTGAAGGTCTCTTGAGGAACTCCGGGTTTACATCCATATTGATCGGCGCACTGGACTGCACTCCTGCATCCATGAGGCTGAGCAAGTGCATAGCTGGTATGGTTTCATTAGAATACAGATCTAATGACCCCATTGTCTTGTGATTAGGCTCGATCTCATTATGTTTACCAGCAAAGGGGTATTCTGCCCCTGCCCTAATGGGAGTTTCTGAACCAAAATTCCTGTTCTGCTTTCCAAGGTTGGAAAGATTCTTATTCAGAAACTTCGGCCCACGATCCCCATTCATATTTTCCTTGAGCATACTGCCAGAAGAATAAGGAAACACATCTACATTGGTAGATGGAGTCACACACTTTGGGGGAATGCTATATAAAAAGGGCATGGGATTCGACATCATTGACGACCAAAGGTGATTTGCTTCCTTACTTTGCTGTGGAATGCTCTGGCATGTGTTACATGGTCCCGTGGCATGGAAATTGGTATAACAAGATCTATTCCCCACTACATCCCCTATCTGTTTGCAATTTTGAGAAATGTTTTGTATGTTGGAACTGGAAGCAGAATGTTGGACTCCACCGGATGGCTTCTCTTGATGTTGTAGAAATGGCCTGAACCCTATAGGGGAACGAGTTTTTTCCAGTTGCCTCATAACAAATGGGTTTGTATTGGCTTGAGAAAAGAAATCAACTGCCTTCTGTTGGGTTGGCCCTGCCATTTCGCCAACTTGTATTATGCCGTTTCTTCTAGCTGGAGGGTTCTGTTTTTGAGCAGTTTCCTGATGAAATAAGCTCAACCCTCCAAGCCCATATACTTGACTGAAATTCATTGTCTGACTCCTCCTTGAGCTATTAGTTGTTTCTAACTGGTGTTTCTCATATTCACCATCAGGAAGACATCTCTCGTACTGATTCTTTGCCATGAGTTCAACAATTTCCATTGGAATGTCATCTAAAGCTCCCTGTTCAGACACCTTATCAGCTCTTTGGTTGATATCTTTCCTTGGAAATGCTGAATGTTCCTGTACTCCAAGGGTTTTCTCATTGCTTTTTGTATTACGAAAGTCCTGGAACAAAGAGAAACATAATTAAGTCCTCAAACAAGTCATACTATGAAGCAGCCCTGGATCAGCTTAATTCACATGGTTAAAAAGGAAAAACCCAGATTTGTACGAAGCACTGATTGTGATGTGAGCCTAGCTGCAGTCCATCCAAACATGTACCAAAAATATGGCCACTTTATAAGCTAAATTATAAACTACCCAGTACCCACACCATGAAACACCCATAGTCATATAAGCCACGTTAAAAAAACCAGAAATGAGAATGCTAATACATAACATTCAGATAATAGTCTCAATTGGAAAGAGAAGGATTTTGGATTTCTAAGGGAAGTTTAAGTGTTTATTTAAACGGTTGGAAAGTTTCATTTCAAATCAATTAACTGAAAAAAGAGAGAGAGATTAGCCAGCCATGCCCCTTTCAAAGTCAGGTTTTGGGAGGGACTTCGGTTCCTGGCAGAATTTTGAACCAGTCCCTATCCTTCAACCATCAGGACAATGTGGCAGCTCACCAGCCTCAAACCTGCAACCTTGTAATTGCATGACTTTTCCCATTGCATTAAGCAATGGTCCCAAAATCGATCAGTTATTTAAAAAAATTCCCCTTCTATGCCGTGATATTCAAACAATAGCAGCAAGAACTGAGAAGGTCGTACCTTTTTTCGCAAGAGAGAACAACCCCCAATTTCAACCGGGGAGGTGTATTTCTGCTTCTCACTGAAGAAGGGCATTTTAAAAGATGGTCTCTTGGTACTAGGATCATTTTGTACTCTTTTCTCGAAAGGTGCATCTTGGACAACTTTAGAACTCAAACTGAAATTTTGATCAATTTCTGAAGCTCTCCTCATGACCTGATTTTTGGAAGTTCCCTCTTGCCAAGTGAATAAAGAACTTTGCCTACTTTCTACCAGTGGATTACGTTTCCCATCATAGCTTTGTGCGGTGTTGTAGCTGTTAAGAGAAAGATCCAGCCCCTTTTCAAGGGACGTGTCCTGTGCCGAATGAAATGGAACACGTACAGGTCCACTTTGTATTGTCTCCAAATCTTTCCTAATCACTGGATCTTCTCTGAGAATGCCATGATTCCAAGGAGATGGAGAAACCTGATGATCTACAAACTGAGGCATCTTTCCTTTCTTCTTATAATCACTAACATTTTTCTCCATTCTTGGAGCATGCAAAGGGAAAAGGTCCATCTCTCTGCCTGTAAATGCATTGTGTGCTGATTTGGTGAAAACACCATCAACAGTAGTGGCTGTAGAATTATCTCCAATTTTATCCCCAATTTCAATTCCCACATGTTCTTGCGACAGCTCTGCGGACAAGCATTCATCAAAACTTAGTGCCTTTTTGTTTTTCTTCTTACTTACAACGGGACTTCTATCAACTTTGTTTTTGGCCCACTGACTCTTCATGCCATTTTGTAGACCGAGTCTACCAAATGCATCCTCTTCTGATTCAGAACCCACAGTGAGTTCAGCAGTTTCCCCATCTCTCTTTAAGATCCTAACTTCTTTGCACACTTTACTGGGAAATCTAATCTGCGGAGGTCTTGAATCTTCATCCTGAGGCAACTTTTTTTTCCTATTCTGACCCAAGCCCCTTCTAACTTTGCGTTGGATAGCCACATCCCCTTGGAAAACAGGAACCTTATCAACTCCAGCAGATGCATCAGGAAGGGCATTGGGCAGGGAATACTGAGTTCTGTTATCAGTGTCTCCATCCCCATTTTTACACAACAACTCTGTCAACAAGCGCACCTTTTGAGTTTTTCTACGATGCAAACCACTTGAATTTTCATGATGAACACCTTGAGAATCATTACCAACCATGATCTCAGTACTTTCAGATGAAGAATCATCATACTCATCTAATTCGATGGAAGGGCGGCTCACAGGATCCTTGTCAGTACCAAGTGCCTCATCATCAATGATACCAGCTTCTACAGATGTCCCACAAGCTATTAGCTCTTTATGTTGGTCATCTATGGAAGTTTCTTTTCCTGCTTCACAAATTTCAGTAGCATTATTTTCCATGCAATTAAGGTTTCTAGCAAACTCAGCACCAACAACTTCATGATGTCCACAGCCTGGCTCAAATAGGTCCATACCTTTTGACTTGAAAGCTACTGTTGCAGAAATCAGAAGCACTGTTATTAGATTGAAGGTACAAGCAATGCAATGTTTTGATTTAGGGTACTAGGTAGTTAAGCTGCTTTCTTGCTTCTATTGTACGTTAAATTACTTAGCACATTTACCTATTTCATCTGCATGATCTGTCTTCTGAATTGGGCTTGAAACAATTTCAGTTGCTACACATGCCAGTCCATGATTTTCCTGCTTCAAATTATCTTCTGACCCCATATTTTTCCCTGGTGAAAAGAGCAAAACATAAAAAATATTCTGATTTAGTACAAAAAATATATATGATGCTGCAACAAAGCTTGGATTTAGAATATACGTAAATACCTATGATGGAAAAATTTGTATCTGTAGTCTTCTCATTCTTATCAATGGAAAGTGAACGATGACATTTACTGGTATTGTTCAAAGTAGCAAAAGCATCAGCTTGTCTTCCCTCAGAAATTTCTTGATTTGCAGCTACCTGAACATCAGACGGAAGCATTGCAGCATCATCAAGGATCGGTGCATGGGAACAAACATCGGTGGATTTTAATCCATTACTGCATGATTTTAGAGCAGTTCCCAAGCAGTTTGTAGCGCCTTCAACACCAACATCCCACACACATTTCTGACAACGCCAAAATCGAAATTTTGGAACATGTAAAGGAGGAAGCAGGCATGCTTGCACCTCAGAGTTATTACTGTCACCATCTGACACAAATGGCCAACAGATCTTCCAGTCCCGTTTACGAATTTCAGATACATATCCACTGCATTCAAAATATAAGAAATTTTTTGTTGATTTCCAGCAGTACAACATTTGCAGCAACAAGAGATAGCACATGAAAATTTACTATGCGAGAAAAAAAGTTCTAATATCTAATGCTGCACTATATATTTATCATTGTTCAATTGTATGCTTTGAGGAATCAATACCTGAGACTAGCAAGTATTTGTCTTCCAAGTTCGTTTACAGTTCCCACTGGATTATTCCAAATTTAAATTTTAATACCATTTTTGTTAAACCAATTCACTTCTTTGTCCAACAAGAAAATCTAGCTAAGAATATATAATATGGCCAATTAGAAGGCAGGTATCCGACAAATTCCTCATTTACTTCCCATCAATAGTAAAGCCTATTGTTTAATTCTCATCAGTAGTATATTCAATGATAAAACAAACAACAAACCTAAAGGTTAAAGCCTGAGATATTATATAATATGGAAAAAGAAAAGAAAACCCAAACAACCTATACGAAAAAAAAAATTGTAAAGAAGCTATGCATGCTGATAACAGCTCAAAAATCAGACAAGCATTCCCATAGACTACATGCAGAAAAATGCTAGTGTTTAACCAATACTGTAGCATGAGAAACTGGATTTGTATCCTATCAAATGATTGGGATCAAGGCTTACCGCATAGAAAAATGTGAGCAGTTTTCTGCCTCAATTTTCTCATCAACATTGTCCAGGTCAATGGTTATGGAATCAATCCTAATAGCTGATTCCACCTTGGAGACTAGTTTTGAATGGTTACCAGGATGATTCTTCTCCACTAAGATAGTACTTTCCATTGTACAAGCAAGTTGGTGCCGTAATGTTCAAATGACAAATTCCTATGCATACACGACATAAATCTTAAGTAATAATATATAATATACTTAACTTACACCGTTATTCAATTTAAAACAACATGGATGAAAGGCAAACCAAAACAAGTCATTAAAGTTCCAAAGTAGATCAATTGATCTTAAGAGATAATCCAAACAAACACCTTAGGGTTTCTCTATAATTATTAGCAATTTAAACTGGAACAAAAGATTCCTTCTAGATTCCTTCTAAATCAAGTAACCCATCAAAATACTATCATTTAAAGTGATTAAACACATAAAATAACAATCACTTGCAAATACAAGTACATGACATCACAAAGCAAACCTTAGAAAAACCCTAGATTTCCATCACAACAAACATGAATCTTCAGTTACCATATCCGTGCTTCACATAGAATATAATCAAACATGGAATTAAATCCCTTCATTTTAATTACAAACTAATTCAAAAATAAGCCCAGTATGATAAATCATAGATTAGGGTTACATAAAACTAACAGTACTAACTAAAGAATAGAAGTCATTAATCTCTCAATTGAAACAGCAAAAAAATACAAACCCAATTCAAAACATCCTCTAAAAGCTCCAAGTTAATTATTACAATGAAGTACCTCAATTCAGAAACGAAAACTTTAGGGTTTCATTCCCTCACAAATTGACCATAAGTAAATAGTCAACATAAATTCAACAACCACAAAACAGTCAAAAAACCCACATGAAATATAAAAAAAATCAATAAATTCACTTGCCAGAAAGAACCGAAATGATAAAACACAAAGAAACGGACAGACTTGACGTGCTTCAAACAGTGAAATGACCTAAATAACACTAACAAACAAGCTAAACCACAGCTTAAACTGGCACAAATCAACAAACCATCAACAAAGAAAACACCCAGAAAGTTGAAAATGATTAATTCGAGTAAAAATCACACCTTTTTTCACTTGAAAATCAAAAGTTCCGATCTTGAATGAACCTGACTTCAATTCTTCACGGCCAGCTCAAAAAATGGTATCATCAGAGAGAGCATTTGGTCACCAAGAAGAGGATATAAATCACAAGCAGAGATTCGAAGGCAACTGTGTAGAATTAGAGTGCGAATTTTCTAAAAACCCTAGCTTTTTAGAGAGGTTTTCGATTCTTCAGTAAGAGTAAGAGAGAGAAGAAGAGATAGAGAGAGAGAGGAGAGAGAGGAGGGAGAGAGAGTGAGTTTTTATCTTTTGTCGTTGGAACCAGGTAGTATTTTGTAATAAAAAAACATGCCCATGACCATGTCATGTTATAACTATGCACATGATATAATACGCGACATATATAAGCATATGTGTAGAGAGAGAGAGAGGGAGAAAAGGTTGAGAGAGAAACTGTAGAAAGCGAGGTTTGAGCAATAGGATACATCCACGTGTCAAGAATGTGCGGTTCTTATCACTATCCATTACGCCTTTTGTGAGGCTTGTAAAGGGCAAAAAGAAAACAAAAAAAAAAACCCTAGATAGCAATAGTAAAAGTTTTTACTATTTCCCCACACGTTATCTCCACGCTCTGTTAAAGATAGGATAAAATAAATAGTGCTTGTCTTGTCATGTTAGAATCGAAGATGCCTTTTGCACATACCTGGTTTTTGATTGGGGTGTGTAGGGGACTGCCCTTGCTTGAGAATGGTGCTAGGTTTAAAGCATAAAACCCTAAGTTTTTAATTTTTTGGGTCATGGGGTATGTAACCCTAAAGGCCATTTGATGTTGTCGTACAATAATAAATATCTAACCCTAAACACTGGCCTATCAATCGAGGTGGGTATGGCACTCATTTGTGGTCACATTTTAGCCCAACCATCAGCCATATATATATATATACGAGTTACCTACCCTTGGTGTAATGCTAGGGTGGCCATAGAACCCTTGATGTCCTAACCTTCGATGAGTATTAACCCATCATTTAACAAATATGGTGCTCTTGGCCTATATTATTGCCCCTATTGTTATTAACGCTTTTAAAGTTGTTAACACCAAACCTTTCTTGGTCTTAACAAAGAAAAATGCAACAACAACATATGGATATCATTTTTTTGTTGACTACGATGTGTTTAATTGTACCAAAAAAGTGATAAAGAAGGAATGGGGAAAAGGTCATGAGTTTTTTTTTCTTTTGCATATGAAATATTTTTTAACAAGTCACGTCAAGATTTATTTTTCTTTTTTGAATTTTAATTATTTATTAGTTTGTTCACTTAAAGAAGCGTAGGGAGGAATGTTATGATATGTTTGTATGACTTTATGTATTTGTATAAGCATTTATATTATGTATGTATGTATGTTACGTCATTCTATCTGTTATGTTAAAAAGGTTTATTTATCCTATGATTCTATCGTTATTTCGTATTTTGTATTAATCCATCTTATTATGTTACCTACAACAAAATCTCAATTTCAACTCGTATTTTACTAGTGGATCTAATCTTCGTTGGCCTTGAAAGTTTTAAAAAATTGATATAAATGACATTATCAACCGCACATGTTTTAGAAAGGCAATGCAATACAAGCACAGATTCTCTCGACATTCTTTGGTTATCTATCCTGTTATTCTAACATCATTCTATATTTCATGATTATCTATCTCAGTATCTTACCTAACATGAAATCTCAATTTTAAATCGTATGTCACCGATGGACCTGTTCTTTGCTGGCCTTGAAAGTTTTGGAAAATTGATATAAATGATATTATCAACCGTATATGATTTATAAGGGCAATGTAATACAAAAATAGATTCTCATAATCTGATATCTTTCTGTATATAGTTTAATTGTAAAAACTAATTATACGTAAGGTATTAAATATGTTGATTTTAAATTATTTAAATGATTATAAAAAGGTGTGGTAGGTCACGCAATAGGTCAGATTTATACCGTATAAAATAACATGTTATTTAGTTACGTGGCTTTCTAAAATTTTTCAAGGCCAACGAAACAGTGATCGAGGGTCAAGATACTATTTAAAATCATAATTCTCTAATTTTCAAGGACAACTAAGCAATAATCTATGAAAAAATACTATTTAAAGTTAGATTATGCAAGTTAGAATGCCCAATTTTTTTTAAAAAAAAAATCACCCATGAACTATATATCAAAAAACAAAATTTTTAACGAGGTAAATTTCACCATTCATTATTGTTATTTACAATAACAGTCCACCCCTAATTGTGCTTTAATCTTTGTCATTGCTATCCATGTGATTAGTTTGAATTCCTGACAGTCTTTTAAAGCTTTGCCTCCTATAACTTGTGTTTTCAACATCGATGATATATAAACTGTGGTAGGTAGAATTTTTTTTTTTTTCCCCTTATGAATAATAAAAAAAAAAAAGAGAGAGAGAGAAGAATTCATACATAAAAAATCTCACCATGCATGCTACTGAACTTACATGATCAAAAAGTGATGATAAGCTGAAAAACTAACAAAAAACCAATCGACATCAAAATGAGTAAACAAAAGGAATGAGAATGATACAGTAGCTCGTAATCAATTGCATTTATGTCATAATTTTTTTGAGGATAAATATGTGTCGTAATTAATAATGTAATGTATAATGATGATATTCCAAAAAAAAAAAAAGGTCATATTAATTAGCTTGCTTCATATATACATAATTATACTAATTATTACAGCAATTAGCGATTAACTTAATACATTGTATGTTGTGTTGAATTGTATGGTTTGTGGAGAAAGAAAACATGCATGGTTGGTATTCGCAGGTAATAGTCACTAACTTGGAGCAGTACATGTAATTATCAATATAATACATGCATGCATGTATCAGTCGCCACAATTAATAGTTTTCTTCGGTCATGACAATACTATTCGCGATAGGTTTCTTTAGCTTATCACGTAATTCATGGAGCATTTTGCTTTTTCTTTCTTTTTGTTTTTCTTTCCTGATTGTCACTTTCTAGGAAAATGACCATAAGCTAGCTTCTCACCGCATGAGGAATGGCACTTTCAAGGCCACAAGAAAAGGCTTTGTAATTTTCACTTCATCAGCTAAATTAAGACATATATATCATGGGGATTCAATTCATTGCAGTCAATATTCTTTCATCGCTAAAGAACATCTTTAGAGAGAGAGAGAGAGAGATCGAAGGTAAACGAGTGTAGGTAAAGTACCTAGTATAGTTGTGTTTTACAGCTTGTCTATATAGTTCCCATTAGGATTAGTACTATACCACTGCATCCAGGTCAGTGCACCCATTGAGATGCGTGTTGAATTTGTTGAAATTTGACACAAATCCTAAGAAGCTAGCTAGAGGGCCTTTTGGGTGAAAAGGATACCTCACCCTTCTTGTGAAAAGGGCCCTCTCCATGTCATCTGTCATCATGAATATACATAGGGTCCAACAGTTACTTCCAATTTTTCTTTTTTTTAAAAAAAATGTTATGATGGGAAGTGCTTCCATTACATAAGGTCCTTGTCTCCTCCTTAATTTTCTGAGGTAAAAAAAATGAATTCTTATGCCACTGATTAATATTTCATCATTTCTATACATTGGGCTGTTCAAGTTGGATTTCCTTTTTTTTTTTTTTTTGTTTAAGATAGCAAGGATATTAAATATTGATTTCTCAAAACCTAGTACATTTATTAGCCATACATTTGTAATTTGTAACTTTAAAATCAATATATATATATCTATATATATATATACACGCAGATGTGTATTATTGGTCCATGAAAGGTTGACAGATGAACGGGGTTAAAATGCATAAGAACAACTCAAACTTTCGCTCTTGTTTAGTCAAAATCAAGTAAGCTATTTGAAATGCTAAAAACCTGTCCCGACCCCATTTGGCTTAGTACGTTGAGCTTTGCTCTGCCCAGAAACATGAGAAAAGCTTCTTCTTCTTCTTTTTTCCCCTTTTGGGTGGGATGGGAAATAGCTCTGGCCACAAGATCGAAAACACCTTTCAATGTTTTTACCATCTCAACACGTAAAAGATATAAACTTGGAAATTATACTAGAGAACATGGGTCCAGAATAGACTCCTAACCGTGAATTCTAGAATAGCTGGATTAAATTTTCTTTCTTTTTTCTTTTCAGAAAGGAGAGGCATGAAACATATTTAGGGTGAGAAAAACGTGAAAGTGAATTGAACAATAAACTTACTATAATTTACTATTTTCAATTCTATGACTTTCGCTCGAAACATTAACATTAGGTTTTAATCTAAGCACGAATTTCATGTATTTAATGTGATTTGCCCAATTAAGCAAATCCTCAAAGTTCTAGTTCTAAGACTTTTTCATTGGATTCTACAACTTGCTATTTCCCATGTGGACTAGTTATACCCATCAACTAGCATTTTTGTACTTCTAATTAACTTATTTTTGCATTCGTGGTTATCAATTAATTCTTTGTGAACTAACCAATTCAAGCACTGATATTTATGAATACGAAAATATATCTTTTCTATCGGCTTATTTATACATTTTTTTTAAAAAAAAATATTCATGGAGGAAAAGGTCTCTTTAAGACTGATAAATAACTTAGTTTTGTTAAAAAAGAAAAAGAAAAGAAAACTTAGGGTCCGTTTGTTTAGAAAATATTTTTTTTCAAAAAAATATGTTATTTTTCATTGTTTAGATGTATTAAAAAATATTTTTTTGTAAAATAAATTGTTTTTTATCGGTGGTTTTTGAATAATAATAATAATAAGATTAGAAAAATTATGATATTTGTGATAAAAATAATGATAATAGTGGTTATGATAATGTTAGTGATAGTGGTAGTAGTGGTTATAAGATGATAGTTGTTATGACGAGTAGTAAAGCCGACAACGATGATGTAAAATTATAGTTATAATGGTAGTTACTTTAATAATATAATAATTATGGTGATGATGGTAAAAATGACAGCATTTAGTTGTAGTGATTGTTGTTGTGATGATAATGATATTGTAGTGACGATGTTGATAGTGAAAATGTTGATGAAGCGGAGGTTACATGGATAACCAAGTGATGATGATAAGTGGTGTTGGAAGATCATGGTGAGATTGGGATAAAATGATTATTATATTAGTAATAAGATGGTGGCTGTAATAAAATTGGTGGTGGTGGTCAACATAATAGAGTGTTTTTGGTATTAGCAATAATTAAGTTATGATATTGGTGAATATTGTGAATTAATAGTAACAAAGAAATTATGTTTTCCTTTTCTTGAGGTTAAAATATTTTTCTTCAAATAAGCACTATTTAGGTAGTGACTGGATAATATTTTTTGTTGATTTATTTTTCAAGAGCGTTTGCCTCGCACTAAAAAATGAAAAAAAGATTCTTAAAAACTATTTTTCATAAAACAAAAACTCTTAGGTGTTTTTTGGTTTTTAGAAATGAAAGATTTAGAATAAGAATATAAGAATCAAAATGAAAATTAAAAAATTGAAATGATATTTTCATTTCAATCTATGTTTAGTGTAGTAATAATAAAGCAATAAGAAATTTAAAATTTAAAATTTTTGATTATTTAAATGAATAAAAATAATAATTAAAAAGTAATTTCATCAATTATGATATAGTAAAAATAATATAAGTAATTGTGGTGATGTAGTTGTGAAAGAGGAAGTGATAATAATAGCATACTAATAGTATACTTATAACAATAATTTATTTAAAAAAACAATGACATTACCAATAAAGGTGAAAGTGAAAGAAAATTAGTGATGAAAGAATTAAAATAATAATAATTTTTTTCATCACCATCTTTGATCAGTAGAGGTGACGATTGATGGTTATGGTGGTATCAATAATGAAGATAGTAGTAAAAATAATTGATACCTAATAAATAAAAATAATATATCACTGTTTTAAAAAAAATCTTTTTTTTAATTTTTTCCTCCCTTATTGAAATAAAACTATATTTAATTTTTATTTTTATTTTATTTCTTTCAACTAAGCACATATAAATTGAAAATAAAATTTTTATTTTTATTCTTATCATTTTACTTCTTGTTATCAAACAATAACTTAAGATAATATGACCAAAAAACTAATCTTTCTCGAAAAAAACCATAACCATAAATAAAATAGAAAACTTTAACTTGTACCGAAACACTTACAAATCGGGAGCGGCCTATATGTAATGTAGATGTGTACGTAAATACGTTAGGACACGCAAAAAAGGCATCCACAGTTTATTACGCAAGTGAATAATGATACCTTTGGAACACGGCTCTCTGCTTTCTCGTCACTGATTTTTAGACGCCATTAAAACTATATATATTCCTTCTTTATAGAGATTAATAATCACATCCTCAAGGAATTGATTCAGATTTCGTACGTGAAATAACCTAATAAATGTTTAAGTTGTTCTATTTCTAACTTTTAGTGTTTTGTTCTTTTTAAACTACTACTTTTCATGGGACATATATTCTTGCACCTTATTGATGTGAATGATGCGATTTTAATTAAAATTATTTGGAAAAAAAATAATCTCAATTAATTTAAGGTAAGAAAAAGGACAACCAATTTCATAAATAAATAAATAAAAATTACTAGTTTTCGGAAATAGTCAAAACTGATAGGCATGAAGGGTCCATTAAAAAAAAAAAAACCGATGATGGGATTTCTTATGTAATGGCATTATCACACAATAAAGCTACAAAAACACTTCAACCCATAAGATCATCCTATATATATTCCAAACTCCTTAAGAAATTAACGTAGTTACACTCTCTCTGTCAAGTTATAACTATTCAAGAAACTATTCTAATTTGTCTTCGTTTTTTTTTTTTTTTTAAACCAAGTTAATCATTCTTATTAAACAAAGAATTAATGACTTCATCTATATTTATATGATTAGATAATTTTTAAATCTATATTAATATACATGTTTGAGTCATGTTAAGTTTCGATATATTATTTTAGTAAGATTTTCAAATTAAATCATTGAAATTAATCAAGAGATCTGTATATAACTATTTTTTATTTTGAAAGTAACTTTATATATAAGTCATACAAATAGAAAAATTTTATTTATAAATTACGTTGTTACTTTCGATATTTTAATTTAAAAATCTTATTAGAATGATGCATATATTAGAAACTTAATATATATTCAATAATAAAAATTTATCCAATTAATAATATAAAAACAAAATGAAGAATTTCCTATCATATAAAGACTCATTAACCCTGAAAAAAAAATTAAAGAAATTAACCATATTTATTTTCATAAAAGGAAAAAGTTAATTGGCAAGGAATCTCTTCAAATAGCTTTGTTTCAGATATCCAAAATTGTTTTTTTTTTTTCCTTACTCATTTCCTTAGTAGTAATTACTAGAATCTAAATACATAAAGATTAATTAATTACCTAAAACTATATATATATATATATATATATATATATATATATATATGACTGTCTAGAAAACTACAGGTTAAATAGAGGTTATAAATAAATTAATTAACTTGGCCCAGTTGATTATATCATACTTTTAAAAACTCCAGTAGCACGACACTAAAAAAGATGAGAAAAGAAAATTAGGATTCTTTCATATATGGTCATAAAAGGAAAAAAAATACAACTTTTCTTAATTTCATGATATATATACGTAGTTACGAAAAGAGAAAAAGAAAGTAGAATGATCAAGAGGTACTTGTATCTGTTATACTGAGCATCCCTGGACACACAGCCCCACCAAATTCATGATCAGTAAGCACATTGCAGAGATTTGCAGTGTTTATTGCATTAATTATGAAAGAAAAGAAAAGTTTATAGCCTGCATGCAAAAACACTTGTACTGTGATTTCTACTGTTTCAGCACTTTTCCTATGGGACATAACCACCTTCCCGCACCCCCAAAAAAAATTAGGACACTGATCTGTATCTGTGCTTCTGCAACATGTCAATAATTATTGTTACATACACTCCTTTTTGAGATGGAAGCTCTTAGGTTAATTTTAATTACATTAATGGCATTGCTAGATAACTTATTCCTTCTACAAGATATTCTTCTTCTTTTTTAATGAATAAACAAAAGAATTCATAGCTTTTAGTTTTGAAATTTATATAGATTTATGTTATTTTATGCTTAATTAATCAAAAGAGAATATAGATAATGAGATTTGAATTTACGATCGTTTTATCATTAAGATTATAATGAGTAACACCTCGGCCAAAGACCTAAGAGGTTGAGAATATTACCGCCGTTAACTAACATTCGAAATGTAATAAATATAAGTTAACAAAACACTTAATATTTAATTTTTAATTAAATTCTAGTTTCGATGGGTATCGGTTATTACATAATACATGTCAAATGACCATCTAACTCAAAAATTTAACTTGTTAGATAAAATTCTAGAATATAATTTACATTATTCTCTAACATAACTAATTTTTAATTAGAAATAAAAATTGATGGCAATACAATTTAAATTAGGTTAAAAATACTTTGATAATATGACAAAAAAATTATTTCTACTACAAGATCTAATCATGGTTTTATGTTAATATCTAACGTACTCTATGGTAAAAAAATTTTGACTTGAAAATTATACAAGCCAACTACTATTTGTTTGCTAATTTTTGTTTAATTTATTTAGAATTATAGTTTTATATTAACTTTCTAAAATATATTAGTGTAAAATAATCCTCATTCATATATTAATTAAAATAATAGTAATATATGAAGTCGAAAATAAATTGCTTAAAAGCTTAGTTTTTTTTTTTTTTTTTTCATGAAATCCAAACCCGACTAGAAGGGTGTTACACAAATACTATATTGAAAGATAAAATAATAATAATAATAATAATAATTGCATTCATTGGCTTCATAATATCAAAGCTTTTATATATATATATATATATATTTGGGATTGCCACTTCTCCTAAATAAATAAAGATATTGGAGTGTAGATAAGTGGGATTTATAGATTTCAAATCTATGAAATCTATGTAATCTGTTGATTTGAACAAGTCTTATTCTCCACAAATTAAGCTGGACCAACATCGATCTCCTTTAGGACTTGCAGAGAGCCTTAATTCTCTCCTCATCTTGTCTACAACATATATACACGTAAGTACTCTTGTACGTGTTAAGTTTGCTCCATTTCAATCTTGATGTTCACTTAGTAAGCTCACACAGCAACATTCTGTTCTTAGTTACTGACATATTTTGAAAAGTAGTCCTAATCTATCGAACCCAGAGTTTCATTTCACGAATCTTTGCCTATCATCATTGTTTTAGGCTATATATATAGCTTTTGGTACTACAGCTCATAAAAGAATGATTGGTGCTGATTATTAATTATTTCGGATTTCATCAATTCATCAGAAAATCACATCTATACAAGCTAGTAGAGCGTGTCTCTGCGTGTGTGTACATATATATATATATATATATATATAAATGGAAATTTATTAAAAGGGGAGAAATTGACTGATAGGAACAAAGCATATGCAGAGGACTAGCTTGGTCAATACTGGAATAAAGCAAGTGTACTGGAGCTTGGAATCAAATATTCTTGTGGTCAAAAACAAAATTATGCCTACAAAGTGTTGGGTAATTCTTGTGGTCAAAAACGAAATTATGCCTACGAAGTGTTGGGTACATAAAATCACCGATTAATTAATCATATATACCGAGGATAAAAAACCCTTAAAATATACATCATAAAACTTTATTTTTCCTTTTAAATTCATATATATATATATATTCATAGAACATCATGACATATATGCAGCCATGTTTTGATTATTGCAGCTGGGCAAGGTTAGAGAAAATTTGTCATAAACAAATGGGATGTGCTGGTAAAAGAAATATTAGATTTGTTTATGGAGAGAATTTTACTGCAGCTGGGCAAGGTTAGAGAAAATTTGACATAAACAAGATGTGCTGGGAAAAGAAATATTAGATTTGTTTCTGGAGAGAATGGGATATATATATATATATATATATATATATTGCAAGCTAGTGATGATAAATTGTGAACAAGGCAACGGCCATGATCCAACCTAGAAGCTATATTTGCTCATGAATCGAGGATTGTGAGAGTAGTACTGATGCTTGCATGCACTGATCACTGCAAAAATATGTATGGAGTGTTTGATTTAACACATTGTGCCACTGCTATCTGCTATATATCTTCTTGAATTACCTGTTGAGCGGAGCCTACCAATTATAAAGTGGTTTTAAATCAGTTTAGTTTGATTAATATTATTATGTTAGGGGATCTAGGTGGTGGTGATGGAAGAGGAGGAGATGAAGGTTAACAACCGTAGGAGAAGGAGGAGGATTCAAGTACTGTGATTAAATATATGGGAGGTGGAAAAGGGGTTGGTTGGTATGGGTGGTGATTGACGGGTACAATGAGTGACAGCTACGAAATAATGGAGGTATATTCCAAGTTAGTTGTGTCATGGATGACATTTCTATTGATAAGTACTAAAAAAGGAAAAAACTACCTTAATTTTTAAATAGAATGAACATAAAGCTTTTAAAAAATAGCTTTTCCTTATCTGATGTTAACAAGTTAATTAAAAAATAGTTTGATATATATATATATATGCCTTTTACTTATTACTATAATACATTTGCTGTATAGTTACGGTTTTTTTTTATCTCCGTCAAAGTAATATATTTCTAATTTTTTTTAATCTTTTAAAATATTTCAAATCTAAAAATTTACATTAATTTTTTGTTATTTTATAAAATATAAAAAATAAAGATAGTTATCCAGATAATTTTTTATATACATAAGAATTTAAATTCTAAACCACTTATTTAAACAACTAAAGTTATTCCACTCAAATCAATCCTATTCATATATTTCTGATTTAGTATGCGGTATTACACGTACAAGCAACCTATATATATAAATATTGTACGTGATTGCATTTGATTGAATTTTATTTTATATTAAATTAAAAATTTATTTATTTTAATTTAATATGAAAGGAATTAAAACGTTGTTACTGATTGAGTGATTGGTTAGCTAATTTTTGTGTCACAAAATTAGTGGGATTTCATTTTTAATTAGATCATGTCTTCTTTGTTATTTATTGGTATTGTAGGAGTTATGTTATTCCCTTTGTTTTCGGGTTTTATTTCTATATAGTTTGGACCTAGATCCCTTTTCATATATATAAAAAAATACTTATTTGAGATGTCAAATTAGTTAGTGTTAGAGACTAGTATAAATTATATTATAAGGCCTCACCTATCGACTTAAGCTTTTAGGTGAGATGGTCCTTTAACATGGTATCGAGCTTGGTTGACCTCGAGGTCATGAGTTCAAGTCTCACCATCCTCAATTTCTCAAATATTAAGCACAAGGCAATGTGAACTCGTGCAAGTTTCAAATATTAAGCACGAAGCAATATGGACTCAGTAACACTAGTATTAATTAAATACTTATAAGATTTAATTAATTTGAAAAGTTTTATGTCACGTTTTTCCAAAGCAAACACAATTGATGCGACTATAGTTTGCTAAATTCTCAGGCCTATATTCCAATTTTATTGCATGAATTAGTCAAATTGGCCCATTCAAGTTTTTCTCATTCAATAATTAAAATATTTATTTATATAAAAGTATTAATCAAAAGATAGAGTATCACAAATTATAATGAATGGATAATTCAAAGAAATAAAAGAAAAAATCGATGGATACAAAAAAATAATTTTTTTTAGTGTGTGTATGTATATATCCACAAACAAATAATGTTTAGATAACTTATAGATAGATAATTGATAAAGTAGTTTGAAATATACTAATTAATTGGAAATTTATTAATCTTTTTAATAATTAATGAAGGGTTTTATCAGTCTTCAAATTATTAATTGATGATATAAATTACATGATAAATGTCAATTAAAATGTGCACGTGAACCTTCACACAACCTTCATTGAACACAAATTTTCTGTACATTCTTAGTAAATAAATATAATAAAGTAGAAGAAAGGGAGAAAGAAGCAAATGTAGTAATATGAACACATCATCATTAACCAGCCGCATGGCATGCTTAATTTCTCCCATTTCACTTGTTTGTTTCGTGTGTTAGAGATTGACAGTCTTCTCAAATACTCGTAAGAGCAGTTGAAGATCAGAAAAGAACAGAAAAGAGAAAAAAAACATGAACACTGCTGTCAATTTACTACCTCACTTCCGTCGGATCTGTTGCCGACTTCTAGACCCTCCTCAGCTAACCGGATTCCTCCAAATCCCGGCTCCGTCAAGATTAATTTCGACGGTGCTTTATCTGCCACCACTAGGTCAGGACCAATAGACACTGTAGATAGGGCCCACATAGGAGTTGTTCGTGTAGCAAAACGCGTTTATTATCCATTCGCACTGAATGCTCACAGCATAAAAGCTTTTGCTTTCAAAGTGGCCGTCCTCTTAACATCTTCGTTTCAGCAACCTGTGATTGTTGAAGGTGGAGATGCCAAATTACTGATCGAAACCTTTATAGATTATCACTTGTTTGACAATTCTGAACTTTTTCTTAATTTGCAAAAAAAAAAAAAAAAAAAAACAAATGTAGTAATAGGAACAACTTTAGAATTATTATTTTTTATTGTTTTAATCATTGTATACCATGAATAATCCAACTTAATTAGGACCTTAACTAGCCTTTACATATACATGCCCATATAAATACAGTTTCTATGGTATCACAGAAAAAAAAAAAAAAATCTCAGATTTTTATTTTTATTTTTATTTTTATTATATATATATATATATATATATATATATATATATATATATATATATATGTTGTGGATATGATCAGATTAGCTTTTCATCACCCAAACTAAAGTCTCTTTCTTTTTGGATAATGGAAAAACTGAAGAATCATCCCCTTTCTTTGCTTATAATCTCTCTTTCCCAACGAATTTTGATATATATATATATATATATATAGCATCAACATATATTCGAATTAGTTTTTGAACATTAAAATTAAAATCGTTTTCCTACTAGATACCAAGCATGTTAACAAAGGTTGAAGAAATAAATCCATATAAAAAAATGTTTTTTACAATTTCCTTTCACATCAGAACTTGAGAGGAATAAAATACAAATTTATTTGCCATCTAAACTAATAAGAACAACGTTACTAGTTACTAATTACTGCTAATAATAATAATACTCGTTTTTATAATCTTTAAGATATCTTAAATCTAAAAATCTAAAATAATTTTTTAATATTTTGTAAAATATACAAGACAAATACAAAATGTGGACATAATTATCTAAATTATATATATATATATATATATATATATAGGCAAAGATTTGAATCCGAAATAATTTCTTTAAAGAATTAGATTGGGTAAAAGCCTGGAACCAATCTTCTCAGATATAATTCTTGCTCTAGTTGCTTTACTATTCATACACTTTTGACGCAACAATATTCAACTGCAAATGTATCTTTGATGGATGGGCCACATGCATCCACTCAAACAAAATTTGTTGGCTCCACATAAAAACCCCCTCCAAAAATCATCTCTTTTCCAAACAAGTTACCTATTTCTAAATTTCTTAAGGCTCGTTAACGACGGCGTTTAATTCAAAAACATTCCTTATTCAATCCCCAAAAGTTTCAAATATCTCTCGTCGATTTAAATAAAAACCCTAAAAAGGACAAGCAGTCAAAGCAAATCGTCACCGTTCACGTGTCCAATAAAACAAAACCCCATCACTTTCAGAGGCCCTTGCCGCCAAATTCCACTCCTATCAGTTCCAAGTAAATACCAAAATCACCCTTCCTCATCCAACGTTCTGTAACCATCCGTAAATTTTAAATCAATCTCAACCGTTGCGTTAACATTTTCAAGTTTATCCGTCCGATTTCTCTCTCCTCTCATCTCACCCTCCATTTATTGTCAAAAAGAAATTTCAAAATCTCGCGAGGGAGATAGGGGGAGAGAGAGAGAGAGAAGAAACGAAGAAGCCACAGAAAACCCTCAAGCTCTCTGATTAGCTCTTGATAAACAGTGATTAGTGATTTTAATTGAGAGCTAAAAATTCTGTTTTTGTCTTTTGTTTTGTACTTTGTTATAAAGAGAAACAGAGCGAGTTAGAGTTAGTTGCCGCGAGAGATTTTTTATTTTTTTATTTTTTTGTTTGCGTAAGGAGGGATTTTGTTGTTCGGATTTCTTATGGAACAGAGCGAAACGGTGGCGAATTACACGCCAAAGAAATTGGCGCCACAGAAATTGGATTTCACGGCGCCGATTTGTAGAACCGCGGCGGTGAATGTGCCTCCGCAGACACAAACCCCGCCGAAGCCGCAAATGCCTCCACCGCCGTATCAAGCGCGGGAAGCGTCGCAGCAAGTGGCGGTGTCGGTGGCGCAACGGATACCGCACCCGGTGCACAGGATATTGGCAATGCCGCACAGGTGAGTTAATTTTTTTTTTTTTTTTTTTGAAATGGCTCGCTATTTTCTTCCTTTTTTTCCTTGCTTTGGTTTCAGTCGTTGTAGAGTTAGGTTTGAAATAAATAAATTGAAATACTTAGCGTTAAATGTATGTTAAGAAACAGATATTTGTTATAATTATAAAAAAATCATTCTTAAATTTTCATAAATTAAAAATTACCGTGTAATTTGTAGATTAAATAAATTTAAGATACAAATAATTATAATAGGATTTTGTATATTAAATACACTGAGCAACAAGATGGATTTTATTTTTTAAAATTTATTGTTATTAAAATTGCTAATTTGGCAACTAATTTGTGTGAAATTCCTCGTTCAGCAAGCAAAACTCACCTGGATCACGGCCAGCGAATGACTGCACTCCTAAGAAACCAAAGCAATGTAATTGTAAAAATTCGATGTGCTTGAAATTGTAAGTATTAGTTCAGCTCTTTTTTTTTCTTTTTTTTTTTTTTGTATGAAAGATTGGTTATTTGTGTTTTAATATGAATTCTAAAATGTTCTTGGGGAGATGGCATGTTATCCTTACATTGAAATGCTAGTATGATTTTACTTTTCTGGAATTATCATTAGCATAAGAGTTATGAGTACCTTACACTTTTTTCCTGTATTATTGATCATTTTTACTTCATGAACCTTATGTTCTGTTAAAGAAGTCCTGAGGATGGGAGCTGGACTTTTCTTTGACCTCTGTTAACTTATGCCATCTCTTGTTGTTTTAGGTTGTGGAATATCTCGTCTTGATTTGGGTGAATACATTGGTAATTTCATATGATTTTTTTTTATTTGTATGTTGGAATTGATGTATTTGATTGAATGAAATTGTCGAGTTGTTAGTTCTCTTTAACTGTATGATTCAGAAGAAGTACAGTTTGTTGGATTTGGAATTTTTAAGTACTTAGATGTACAATTTAAATTTCTTGGTATGTGTTTGTAATGGATCATTATTTTTCCCAAAATCTCTTGTTCATGATTAACAAACGAATTTCTGGACATTTTAGGTATTGCGAGTGCTTTGCTGCTGGAATTCATTGCAATGGGTGCAACTGTTTAAATTGTCATAATAATGTTGAAAATGAGAAAGAGAGGAAAGAGGCAGTTGAAGCAACCCTTCAGCGTAATCCAAATGCTTTTAGACCAAAGATTGGTAACAGTCCACATGGATCTCGGGATGCTACAGTATGTATTTCGTCTCCTTTGCATTTTCAATGATAATGTTTGATATCTGATGATATTACTAACTCCTGATTGGATCATTTTGAATTTTCCTAAATAATTCTATATGAGTACTATAAGCTTCATTTATTTGGACCTTTATTTGTTGATTTGTCCTGGATGCATTTCTGAATGCGAGTCAGTGACTGGGCATGAGTCATTCAGATTTGAGTTCGAGTTCATTCCATTCTAGTTTTGCAATCTGCATTATTTCTATTTTCACTTGTACTTTTTCCATGCCGTAAGGTTCTTGGGCGAAGAAATCTTTTCTATGACCACTGTAGGCTAAGATGGAACTAAAAGAGAGTGATGCATTCGTTCTTATAGATCAAATGAATTCCATGTTTTTGTTTTAAATTTGAATTTTTATTTGCCAGCTATACTATCTATTCTCATCATGGCTTGCATGCATCTAAAACTTTCCAATAAAATAAAATCCAGGAAGATGCAAAGGAACTTCAAATGGTGGGAAAACACAATAAAGGATGTAATTGCAAGAGATCAGGGTGCCTCAAGAAGTATTGTGAGTGCTTCCAAGGAAATATCTTATGCTCTGAGAATTGCAAATGCTTGGAGTGCAAGAATTTTGAAGGTAGTGATGAAAGAAGGGCTCTCTTTCTTGGTAGTCCTCATGGCACAACTTATGCGCAACAGGCAACAAATGCAGCCATAAGTGGGGCCATTGGATCATCTGGCTATGGGACCACTTTGTCATCCAGGAAAAGGAAAAGTGAGGATCTGTTTGGCATAGCAGCCAAGGATCAATCTCCTCACAGCACTGTGAAATTCCCACAGGTAGTTTTCATAATGATTATAGATATGAGAGATCTACCTGATCCATTTAAGGTTTCACTCTCAATGTTAACTCTTGAAACATATTCTGGATAGGAAAATGATATGCATACAAACATATCATACTAATTGTTTATACAAACTGATGTGTTAAGTGATAAATGGTGTAAACCCCAGAAATATTACATGATTGCTTAAGAATGAAAGTGTAATGCTACGCTAGTTTGTATTGATAACTTTTCTTTTATGGACTACTTCATAGTCAACCCATCATTGATAGCCATGCTACCATACTAGGTTTTTAGTACTGGTGTTACTCCAATGCACATAAACTCTTTGCCCTTCAAATGTTGACTACCAAGTTTTTTGTTCCTGTAATTTATGTCTTTGCTCCAAAATTTATTGTTTAGTACTTTTGTATTTCAAGATTAGCTATACCAACAGTCTGAATGTTTACTGAGAAGGACAAAATCTTGCATTTTAGTCCATCTTTAACATTGAAAAATGTAAATTTAAAATTATTTTTTCTTTTGATTTTAATTTCATCTCTTCTGAGTTCAAAATAGTGACATAATTTTCTTTCATTTCTTTTTTCCTTTTTCAATTTCCATTAGGGAAATACTCTGAGGAATTCTGCTGCCTCTTCTTCTCCATTATCCGTCTCTGTTTCTCGCACTGCTAATGGAGCAGTATTGGGATCATCAAAACCCACATACAGGTAACACTTTTCTGCAATTCTCCTGCACGTTGTTAATGAAAATTTCCTCCATTTTTCTATTTTTATTTCAAGAACCGAGAACTGATCAGTACACATCTACATGAGTGAAGGTCCCCATTGGCAGGCGTACTCCAACCAAAGGTTGTAAAGGAGATCTGCTCACTCTTGGTCGCAATTTCAGGAAAAGCTACAGAGGCACTTGCAGGTTTTCCTTTGCCTACAGAAATATTTGTGCCTTTTTCTTGACATTTTGTTTACAGCTATTTTTTCAGGAGTACCTACTTTTTGCGTCAATATCAGTGCACAGAAAATTTTAGAATAACCTGTGGCCTGATTATGTTGTTGTTTTAATAGATATTTAGAAACACATAAACTGTTCTGCGAAAGAAAAAAACTATTATCTGCCACTATCATGAAATACCTATTAATACAATTCTGTTTCCTAGTCCATTTACTTGATGAGAGGCTCCCTGAAGTATATTTATTTTAATAATTGATAGAAGTTCAGTTTCTATCATTAAGCAGAGGAGAGTTAGTACTTGGAGGGAGAGGGGCTTAGAGTTATTTGTGACTAAAGAGAGAAGATTTACCAGTGGAAAGGGATCAATACCTCCCATGGAAGTCTATGATTAGTACAGCATCAGTTATCACATGCTATAAAATCTGATATTTTAGCCTTTTATCGAGGTCTTGAGCCTGATATTTAGCGTTTATCTCCTTAAGCACCTTTGCCTTTGAATTTGTATTGGTTGATTAACGAAAATATTTTCAAGGTTCAAGTTTATTTCCCATGGAAAAATGTTCAGATGAGTATGTTAGAAAATTGGTTAGTGTGAGCATCTGGAAGATCTCATATGGTTATCTGTTTCTTTGTGACTAATGTTTGATTTGCTTGTTTAATCTTGCAGTATAAACTATTGATATTCACTCTCAATCCTTAACTGAAAATTTCCAGGAAAAATAGGAAAAGTGGATACACAGTCTGAGAGAGAGAACATTGAAATTTGTTCTGCTTCTCCCATTCAAGAGAAGGAAAGTAGTCTAAAAGGATGCAATGACAAAAAATCTATGCCTGATGACTGTCTAAATGGGAGCAAAGCTGAAACAGATGGAAGCAGTGATTTGGGTGATGTTGAGAATGCAAGGACACCCTCCCCTGATATTGATTTGATGTGCCATGAAGAGGAGATTATGTTTATGGAAATTGGATCCCCAACCGGAGTGGCACAACTTCGTCAAGGCAAAACCCAGAAATCAGATGATGGATATGAGTGCTCGGAGCTTCACGCAGAGCAGGAAAAGATCATCTTGACGAGTTTCCTCGATATTCTTAATAGAGTGAGCACTTGTGGTAGCATAAAAGTCACCCAATCAGGTATTTACTGACTACTGAAAAAACCATGCATAACATGTTCAGATGCTGCATTAAATCTGTTAAGATTCTCACACAGTTAAATCTTTCCCAATAGATGGATTAATTTGGCGTTGTCATGGAAATAGTCATTCTCCAAGTTATGCTTGCTGTCTAGACAGTTCTTAATATTTATGATATCAAGATGGCTTGATGCCCTACCTTTGGTTACTGGATGACAGTGGTGATGAAGCCTATTATTGCAGACTGCTGATGCAATAATTGAAAGAAAAGGCAATTAAAGATGAAAACTATCTTTGGAAACTCTTGAACCACCTTTTCTTGTTTTTCAAAAATTTGGTAAACAGGTTGCTAGTTTTTATTTTCTTGAAGACCAAAAACTAAAACAAGCTTTTCATATTTTTGAAAACAAAAAATAGAAACTGCAAATGATACCAAACAACCTCCAAATTTATCAATTGTTGCTCTCACCCAATTTTTCCTGTGTGTGTGAGAGACGCAGAGCTTGTTGTCACTTTCACCAAGCATGGTGAAGGGATTTGATCTTTTTCAGTTACTGTTTTGATCATATTAGACATTGAAATTCACAAGTGATCTATTGGGAATGATCCTTTCTCTTTCACGTGGCTGAAATAATGTGTTCTCCTTTGACCAAATGTAAAACAGGAAACCAACAAGAACCTGCAGTGAGAGGCACTGTAAAAACTGGAACTGAAATGGGAAATCACAGGAATGGATATGCTAACGGCATTGTAGCAACTCTTGTTTCTAATAGGGATCTTCCTGTCAAGGCTGCATCACCTGTTCAAAAAGAGACCACAAAAAGAAGTACGATAACAGCCGGAATTCAAATGGGAAATCGTAAGGCTCATAGTAATGGCACTGTGCAGTCTCCTGTTGTCGCAACTTTTGCTTCCACTGATCTTCCTATAAAGGCTGTATCTCTTGTTCAACCAGAATCTGCAGAGAGAGGCACCAAACAAGCCAGAACTGATATAGGAAACTACAACAGATATGGTAATGGTACTGTGAAATCTCGTGTTCCTAACACTGATCTTCCGATAAAAGCTGCATCACCTGTTGAAATTGAGAGATAAATCCAGATGGTAAGAATTGTAATTAAGGAGGGAAAAATGGTATGAAATGTCACCAATTCTCTTTGCAATGTGGGGATGATTTCCCGCTGTTCTTGATCCGGTTGGAAGCTCTCCTAGCATTTGAAACATTCTTAAGTACAGGTTAGAAGATGAGTATTATCATTATTTTATGCTATCAGCTGGTAATGTAGTGATAGTCTGAAATTCTTGTAAATGAATAAATATTTCCATTTCTCATGGTAATAAAATTTCTCCCACTTTGGCTACGTGTTCATTTATTCACACAAATTTGTGAACGTATTCTTTGATCTAATGCAGTATTGTGTTTTTCAGCTTTCTTGTCTTCACTAGCAGAGGTCGATGCTCTTTTTGTGATTGATTCGAAGGTGATCAGTTTGTAAGTTCTTTGGACGTCAAAAAGGTATTCTTCTTGTAAAGAAAGGCATCAACGATCCCAATTAACTCGGTAAGAGATAGGGTGCTAGAGAAATTATCTAACCCAGCCACTTGTTAAAACAATTTTATTTTTTCCTTTAGTAATTGGTTTTCTAGGTTAATATTTCTGCAAGGACCCCAAAATCTTAAATCTCAATGGTCAGTCCTTATCCTGCCACCATAACTGGGTCTTTAGATCCTAAAGGAACTGAGTAGAATTTTTCCATAGCGGGCATCAGCTCCTTCAAGTCTATTCTGACCATTAAAATGCTAAATGAACTTTTTACAAAAATAAGCAAACACTAGCGTTTATTATTTGAGCTCTCTGTGTGACCATAAGTGCTTACTCAAAATAAATGTGGATTCATACTTCATATGGTGCATTTTCACTATTTAGCCAAAAAGTTTCAATTTGGTCGTTTTTGGTTTTAGGGAAGAAAAAAAAAACTTTTTGGTGGTACAAACTTCTTTCGCTTCTCTTTCATTTTGATACTCGGATGTTCAGAAGAGAGATGGCTGATGAGGTCCATTTGGGCCACCTTAAGGGTCGAAATTACTTTCAATTTGTTCGTATTGGAGAGAATAATTTATCTGTTGTGGTTATAAATCATGAAATGGTTGGAAGAGGTTGATTAAAGCTTCAAAATTTTTGAAATTTTTTATTTTGATTTGAATTTTGATTTATTTGTTTGGATTAAAATAAATTTTAAGACTTTAAAAGAGTTTATGTACCTTATTTATGTGATTTTTAAGATGTTCTTTGGGCAAATAGATGTTGAATTGGATTGGAATAGTTGAAATCCACAAAATTTGTTTTTCTGGCACATTTTTGAGTCAGTCAGGGCTAGTTGAGAATTGCAGGTGGATGACACATCGTGTGTTGCTCCTGGAGCGGACGATGTGTCATCCTTATATTTTCATTTTTCTTCTTTTTTTAATAACTTCGCCCTGCACAGGCTTGTGGTTTAGCTTTTTTTTTTTTTTTTTCAAAATTTTATTTTAATATTTTTATTGAGAATTTTTAAGCAAAGAGTATGAAAGATCGAATGTTATTTTTTGTTTTTTACATACAATCTTGGGAGAGTGAAATATATATATATATATATATATATATATATATATATATATATATATATATATATATATATATTTTAAAATGAATATATATTTTACATTATATTACTCTTTCTATTTAAAATTTTTTCTTTCAATTTCTCATTTCTTATGAAAATTTTCATTTGATGAATTTTTATTTATTTATCATAAAAATTTTATTTTGTTGATAAGTCTAATTTATTTTCTATTTTCTAATATATATATATATATATATATATATATACATGTATATATATTGGAATATTTTTTTAGAATTTTTATAAAAATATTATATAATTTAGATCATGGATTCTTAAAATTTTTAAATGATGGTTGAATGGTTATAAATATATATTCAATGTAAAGGTTAAGAGTGTATTTTAGATATTTTGATTTCAATTTTTTTTAATAGTTTTTGGTTTGTATTTTACACTCAACTCGCTAAATATAATCATGATGAATAAAAAAATTAAATTATCAATTTTATATAAAAAAAAATTAACTATGTATTTATACATATAATACTAACAATTTGCTGTTTTTTTTACTAATTTCTTTGAAATAAAATAATTAAAAGAATTATCAAATGATTAAAATATAGTTTTTTTATACTAACGTTATTGATTATTTGGCAAATAAATATATAAAAATTAAATATACATATTTTTTAAAAATAATCTTCTCATCAATATTTTTTTAAAAAATAATTTTTTTGTACATATTATGAAAATTATATTTTGATGGTGTATTTTTGAATTTTTAGATAAAATTTTCAATTTATATTTTTATAAGCTTTTATCTAAGAATCATTGCATCAAGAAAAAGGAATCGTGTTTTTTTTCTTTTTGAGTTTAAGAAATATAAAACACACAATATAAGATTTTGATTGAAAAAATTATAAAGTTTAGTTTTTTTCATCATTAATTCAATACGTTTTGATAGAACAGATGACATGAACGATGAAATTAGAATCAACATGTTGTGTCCGACCCGAGGAATCAACTTCTGCCTTACTATATGTTATTGGTAGCTATCCAGCTCCCATTACCGACACACGTTACATATTATTAGAAAAATATGGAACTTCCTGGCAACTTCCTCACATCCTTTTGTTTTCGTTTTTGTTTATTTTCTTCCATTTTGATTGTTTGCTTGGGAGCTTCCTTCAAGCTTCGTTTTCTTTCCATTGTTCATCCAAACAAAACCTGCTCCCTTCTGATGTTTCTCTACATAAAGAGTACAAATCCAGTCGCAACACATTATAGAGGACCCAACTAAAACACAATCAAAGAACCCTTCTTTATTTATCATAAGGAGGGAAAAAAATAAATTGTGAACAATCATTCTGTATAAATAAAACTGTTTTGATTATTAATCATGCATGGCGCAAAATAATCCATACAGGCTATAGGTGATCCTAATTAGTTTGATGTGAAGATTTTGTTGTTGTTATAATCATTCATGCTTGCGTGAATAGATGTTGTAAGCGATTGCCCAAATCCTAAAAGAAAATCACTAAAAAATGGCATTTTCTCACCCAACACAATAATTTATCAGTTTGACAGTCATGTTCTGCACCTACGCATATTTTTTAACATCTCATGCATTTAAATTTAGGAGTCTTCACTGTTCCATAAAAATTGTAACAAAATATCAATTTTGATTTAGTTTTTTATTTTTATTTTAGAAATTAAAATAAAAAATCGAATCGAAATAATTTTAGTTTTCGAGTTTGGTTTCTGTTATTTTATTTTAAATTCGGTTAACCAAAAATTTTACTATATATATATATATATATATCTATTTTTTTTAAATTATATCACTAAGAGGATTCCCAAATTGAAAAACCCTTCTCTCTTAGATGTATTTTTTTCCATAGCTTCGTACATGTTTTTTTTGTCTCTGTTACAAGTCTAAATGTATACAAAATAACAAATACGTTAATAGATTTTCTATCGTTTTAAATTCAAGCCTTCTTATGTAAATAATTTATTATTTTTTTATCTATCAATGGTTTTTTTTTTTTACATAACTTAGGTTCCTAACTAGTAGTACACAAAACAAAAAGAAATTCACTTTGAACAGAAATCTCAGAAATTTTAATACAATTAGTAATTTATAAAAAAAAATAATAATAAAACGAATAAAAATCGAATTATCGAACACCGAAACTAGAATATTTCAAAACTGAATAAAAAAAATTGATTAACATTTTGAATTGATTTCGATTATTTTTAAAAAATTCGATTAACTAAAAGCTGTCTAAAATATTTTAAAACCAAATTGAATAACCGAATAAACACCCTTACCTAAACTAGCATAATTAAACCCAAGCCTCCACCATAACCTACTTCGTGGTATTATTATTATTATTTCTGTTAAAGGCAGAAACAAGAAAAGAAGAATGTCAGTTTCTCAACAAGGACGGGTACCAACCCTTTATCTGCTCTTCTTTTTAATGGCGCAGTTTCCGACATCACATCTCTTATTCTTACGCGGGACCCACATCTCGCTCGTGTACAGCCCGAAACTCCACCCGTGTGATCTTGGCTCTACTTGTCTAAGAACATACCCGCCAAAACCTAAAACTAGATATAAATACCAGACACGGACCCAGACCCAGGTTGTAAGAAAAGCAAAGTGCGAAGTCAAAATGGAGAAGGAAGCAGCTGATTATGTTGTTGATGCTGAGAAGCTCAGATTTGAATTCCTTCAAGTCCTGCGTGGTAGAAGAACTGCTGAAGGTTAAAAATCTAAACCTAAGAGTTTTTTTTTCCTGCTTTTTATGCCATTTTTATTTGTTTGATTGATGTTATGAACACTCTCGGGTTAATAACAAATGTCCAAGACACTCGGATTAATAACAAACGTACAAGAAAATCATTAGATGTTACTGTTATTGTGGGATTCACGCGTTGTAGGTCTCATTTGTAGAGATGCATTTGTTCTCTTGGAAACATGAGAGAATCCAAATCAATTGTGGTTAGATACACTTTAGATCTCACTGTGGGTCGCAGGTGTAAGAATGATGGTTTATTTTGAAGGGGATTGTCCTTGGAGTTGCTTGTTTTGTTTTGGTCCAAGATTTGATTTGTTTGATTTATTTTAATTTGCTTAATTTTGAAATAATGCTTGGTTTCAGTTCTATTGACTGTGGAGCCTGCAAAGCCAGTGAAGGATCCCTTGTTTCAAGAGTATACACGGCCAACATTCAGTGAGGTTAGATTGGAATCTATCAGTGTTTTTTTTTTGTTGGTGAAATGATCATTCATATCGCGATAAAGAAAGAAGTTTAGTGTTTGTTGATGGATTGTTGGTTATTTTATTGATAGGCAATGGTGTCTTGTCCGAAAGTAGAGATTGAAAATTTCAAAAGTCTACTCAAAGAGGAGAATCTTTATTTGACTACTGAGGTAAATTTCACTTGTATTACTACGCAATGTTGTTTTATATTGTTAATCTTGCAGTACAATGTGTAATTTATTTACTTTTTTCAAATGGTTTGATGTGGATTTTGACAATGGGAGAAGTATATTATTATTGTGTTGTGGTAATTGATAGGCTGGAGAGCAAGGTCGTTTGCCGGTGCTGATTCTGAGTATGAAAGGGAGCGAAGAAAGAAGGCCTGCTATCGTTTTTCTGCATAGCACACATAAGTGTAAAGAGTGGCTGCGACCATTGCTCGAGGTAGTTAATCAGATTGATTTTTTCTGGCGTTCAGTGTTTATTAGCTTCATCTTATAGATAAGACCTGTATTTTTTGTTTTGCTTGTTTCAGGCATATGCTTCACGGGGATATGTAGCAATTGCAATTGACTCTCGTTACCATGGTGAACGAGCCATCAATATCACTACCTATCGAGATGTGAGCACTAGATTGCGCTAACTGTTTTAGTTGGTCCCAGTCATAGATTTAAATAACGGCCATTATGTTATGTAAGGGCCATTATATAACTGTTTTGAAGCATCCTGTTATTGTTATTTTAGCACTGTAGTAAGCCTCAATTCGCAATGGCTACCGCGACCGTTTTTTCAACTGTCCACAATTTAAAACTACAGTCCCAGTGTTTTACTTTTACCAAATCACTATGGCAAGAAGGTTATGATGTATGCAAAATTTGTTCTTTATTAGTTGGCCTGTGGAATGGCAGAGTGAAATTCTAAATGCTTTGACATATGCAGAGACTTAGTTTTTTCAAGTCAAAGCATTTGCCAAGTCCTGTAACTTATTGCTCTATGATAAGCTGTCTTCGAGTTTTGGCTCACTGTTTCCTGATTGAACATTTATCTTTAACCTGTTATTTTATTCAAATGCAGGCTCTTATATCATCATGGAAAAATGGTGATACAATGCCATTCATATTTGACACGGTAACTTCTCTGCTCATTCTCATTTCATTCATACAGTTAATCTGATCAGTTATCTGCTTTTAGGAGAGTTGATGGACAGAGTCGTAGGTATAGAAAAATTATAGTTTAGTTTTCCATTCAGATGAGGCTATAGAGAAATTTGGCCATAAGTTTTTAAATCTCTTGGTCTGGAAATCAATGAAATCATTGTGGTTTTATACTCAGATGACTGCACTTCGTGAACAGGCCACTCAAATTTTTGACCATTGCAGGTCTGGGATTTGATAAAACTGGCTGATTATCTTACTCAGAGGCAGGATATAGACCCTACCAGGATAGGAATTACTGGAGAATCATTGGGAGGTTGGTTAAGTGAATCTTAGTAAAAAGAGAGAATAATTTAAGGTCATGCTGGCTGTTCTATGAAAAACTTATTTAATTATTATGCAATGCAGGAATGCATGCATGGTTTGGTGCAGCTGTTGACACCCGATATTCAGTGGTTGTCCCAATAATTGGTGCGCAGGTGTGTTTAGTAAACTTATGTGACTTGGTAAAGAGTTGGCAAATAAATATTGAATAACTAGTTGAAATTCCTGTGCAATGTGATTGTAGGGGTTTCGTTGGGCCATAGACCATGATAAGTGGCAAGGTCGAGTTGAAAGTATAAAGCCTTTATTTGAAGGTATAATACACAGACAACTAGCCAGTTTAGATAAATAAAAAGTAACAGATCCGTGTTTCAGCAGGATGATTTGTTTGTGATTTACACTTGTTATCATTTGTTTCATTATAGTTTTGGGCCTTGTTTAGTTTATTCTGAAGCAGCATTGATTGTCAAACTTATTGAGTTTTAAAAATTTAATCTTTTCCCTTTTTCGATGGTTAGTTATGAGGATGATTGATTAATAAGAAAATTGGTTGACGATACTATATGTTTTATGGACTCATAATATAAATAGGATGTTATGACTGGCACATGGAAAAGTGGTTGTAATATTGAGCAGTGAGCTTCTTGTAGCATGAATCTTGCATGTCAACTGGAAGTCTTGTGGCTGTTGCTGCTCTGATTCATATAGTTTTTTTGGTTGCAGAGGCACGGAAAGATCTAGGCAAGAATGCAATTGATAGAGACGTGGTGGAGAAGGTTAGTTACATTTTTTACTTTCAACATGTCTCCTTTTTCACAAAAAACATTATATCTATGTTAGTGCGAGTAACCTCAAACGGACTTTCAGCCTTTAAATATCCTGGATTCTATTCTTTTCTTATGATCTTTTGGTGATTTACTCCATATTAATCTTCAATTATGCTGTTTAAAACTAACATGTTGTAGCAAGCAATATGTAACCTATATGATTATCCATTTGCATTCTTCACGTGAAGCATATCACCAAGAGATGTGAATCACATCCAATCTACTCGTAGTGACTCTCTTTTCTACTTCATCAGCAAGTTGGATTATTTCTTATGGATATTGTTTCCTGACCAGGTCTGGAATAGGATTGCACCTGGTTTGGCTTCTTCCTTTGATTTGCCATATACAGTTCCAGCCATTGCACCACGGCCTCTGCTGATTGTTAATGGTATAATTATTTCTTTCACTTCAAGAAACAAATGGCACACTGCAAATAAATGTGTTTTTGGAGCAATAAAGAGCAAGAACTAATCAAGATATATTTGAAAACATTGGATGTCAGGTTCTCCATTCATCCAGTTAGTTATATTGAACTCTCATTGAATATGTTGGCTGTATTGCAAGGCTGACATGGTTGAGTATCTAGGTATTCTGAATTGATCCAGATTTATAACATGCCATCTTTACTTACTGTTGAAGATCTAGAGGTGTTTGGTGTACTCAGTGACTCATAAATTACTATAGTCAGAATGTTAGTGCAAAGCCATTCCCTTTTACATATTGGTTGATAGATCAACTTGAGTTTATTAGTGCATGAAACTTCATACGTTCTATGCATTAACCGAATTGTTCTGGGGATTAATTTTACATTGAATCTGAATGTTCATTTCAATTGAAACATTGTTTGGATTTGGGAAACTGTAGGTGCAGAAGATCCTCGCTGTCCACTTGCAGGTTTGGAAGTTCCCAAATCAAGGGCAATTAAGGCTTATGGAGAAGCACATTCTCTAGATAAATTTAAGGTACAGACTTGTATTTTCTACAGTATCAAATTATCAATGTCTGTTACTATCTTTAATTGTTTCCGGAGCTTTCTTTTTCTCTACATGGTTCAAAGTTGACCAGGTAAATGAAACTACCTTATGAAAAATTATCATGGAGAATGTCATAATTTACATCGTTTCCTCTCCTCCCCCATCACTTTGTGCAAATATGCAGCATGTATTTTGCACGTAGCCTGTTTTCCCTCTAGGACTCATGTTTGTCCTTTTCATTTTATTACTCCTCTTCGATCATAATAGTGATAGTAATTAAATGAAACTGCATTCAGATAATGCACGCATTGATTTCTTTTGGGTCTCTGTGATGGTGTGTCCCTTATGACATTGCTTCCATAACATGCAGCTGGTTGCTGAACCTGGAATTGGACATCAAATGACACCATTCATGGTAAAAGAAGCAAGTGATTGGTTTGACAAGTACCTTAAGAAATAAGCTGCTTAGTTCCATCTTGACTGCAGCACTGTATCAGTATGTTTGCTTCTGAATTGTTATGTGCACTAAAGTCAAGCAGCTCTTAGAACAATTTGAATTAGTTATACGAGGAACGCTCAAATCTTGTATTGTAGATCGTTTAGTCATTCCCTTCAAAAAGAAGAAATTTCTCAAAGCTTAGAAGACTGGTGCCTTTTATAATAAGTCCATTCTAGCAATCGCCTCATTGAAGCATGAGTTAATATGATTGCAAGTCTTCTGGACATCACACACTGCCATGCTCCCATCGACCTCGACCTCTGAGAACTTCAAGCACGGAAAGTTGGCAAGATGAAGAGCTGTCAATATAAGGAGGAGAGAAGAATTAAAAAAGGTCAATTGTGCTACTTGACGATTATATATAAACCAGGTTTGAATTAGGAGAAGCAAGAAGCTTGTTCGCTGGAAAATAAAGTGATTGTCTGAAACACTATGAACAGAATTTAATCTTGAAATCCAGTTAAGTATTCACAAGGCCCCTTCTTACAAATTCTAATGGATTGTCATTGATATATGAATGTGAAACGTTTAGGCATGTATTCGTGGACTGGAATACTTACTCATGAATGGGCTTGGAGCTTTTTCTCATTGCTTGCAAGATTTTTTATTTCGTTTTCACTGTTAACATATTGATATGCAAGTTCGAATTGAAATTAATACGAAAAATATATTTGATTTTGATTCGTAATTCAAAAATTATTTTTCATAAATAATTAATGAAGGAAATGAATTAAGTTAAGGTTGCCTAATATTCTGTGGTTAGGGTTTTCTCTTTTAAGGACTGTTTTTGTTTGTTATGCCTGTGATATGACTGTTTTCTTGATAGTGTTGTAAAACAAATGCATCAGGCTATGGAAAATCTATTGGAAAGAATGTCTGATAGAATTATTTTAAAGAAAAAAAATGACAAATAGATTTTAGCAAAATAATTGACCAGTAGAATTTTAATTCTCAACACAAAACAACTGAAAAGAAAAGTTCACTTGTTTAAATTGACTTTGATAAGATAAATATATTGAGGTAATTTAATGTTAGAAAACGAATCAAGCAAAAGAATAAAATAAAAATACAAAAACAATCACATAATATAAAAATTTTACGTGGTTCGATAATGATATTTATTTTTTTACTACATCGGAATTTCTTATTAGATTTTGTCAAGTAACAACTACGAGATACAAATAATATTGCTTCTATATATAGTGTGAAAACAAATCAAGTAAAAAGACAAAAATAATCACACAATACAAAAATTTTACGTAATTCGATAATGGTACCTAATTGATAATCGCACTACGATTTCTTAATAGATTTTGTAAAGTAACAACTACATATATAAGTGATGTTACCTCTATTTATAGTGTAGACAACTAAGGTTATAAGAAAAAAGGCTTAACGAGTTTATACACTCGACCTAATATTTTGTAAATCTTTCAAAAACTCTACCTCCGAGCCTCACAATTAGGGTTATAAGAAAATAAGCTTCGCAGAAGCGCCGCCGCTTGACTCTCGTCTTATACTCGTGGCTCCCATTCATATAAGTTTTTACGACTTAACAATTAATAAGCAAAATCATGTGGAAAAAAAGTTTTTTCTATTTAAATATTATACCATTTATACCCTCTAACCAAACAGGTCATATGGTATAGTTGTTGGTCATTCCTTTGAGCCCTTGGAGAATTTGTTGGGAACAATACAAAGTTAGGCAAACCATTGGCCAAACTTATTTTCATCTTTATAACGACGCAAAGACATGACCATCATTGACCAATCCAAGTATAGAGAAGTAACTAGCATAGCATATAATATGTTTTAATATTTTAAATAATTCAAAAATTTTGGCATAAAATAAAATTAATTAACACTAATAATGAAATTTTGTTTTATATATATATATTCCGCAATCGAGTTTTAATACACTCGTAGGAATATTTTTTATTTTGATAAAAAACTTACGGTTAATTATTATTTTTTTAACAAAAATCAAATTAGAAGAAGATGCTAAATCAATTTATATTAGAAGAATGTTTAATTTTAGCTAATGAGTCTATAAAAAAAATTATTAATTATGAAAAAAAATTATTTTGAGCATATAAAAAATAATAAAAAATTAAAAAATTAAAAAATGAAGGGAAAAAAGGGAAAAAACGAGGTTAGGTTGGGCTCACATCGGTCCCTTCCATATGGCTTGAAGACAACTCGGACTCGTGCGATAGAGCTGGAAATAGGGGTGAGCAAACGGTTCGGTTAACCGAAAATCGAATCAAACCGAATTGAATTATGAAATTTGGTTTGGTTATAAATTAAAAAATGTATAATTTATAACCGAACCGAAAAAATCGAAATAATTTCGGTTCGGTTCGTTTTTTTTTTTTAAGAAACGGTTTGAAACGAAAACCATTTTTTTTTTATTATTCCTAATTCTAATTTCTAAATACCTAAGAATAAGATCTAACCCTAACTCAGTAACTCTCTCTCCTCGTCTCCCTTAGCCGCCTCTTTCGACTTTCCTTTCCTTTCAACGCCGACGAAGTCACGCAAGTAGCCAACGCCCGAGCATTCCAAGCAACGAGCAAACTCGGTCACTCTCGCTCTCGTCTCTCGTACCGTCAACTCAAGTCTCGGACTCTCGGCCTCTCACTCGTCTCACTCGTCTCACGAGTCACGACTCTCACTCTCAACCTTTCACAGCATCTCGCACTCTCAAAGTCTCACTTTCTAATCTAATTCTATTAACCCTAACCCTAACTCGGCTAACCTAACTTCGGTCTCTCTTTGAACTCTTTCAACTTTCATTCGTTGAAATCATCGACTTCTCATCGTCTCACACTCGGGTATGGTTCTTGTTTTATCTAGTGTCTTCTTCCCAAGCCTCCTTCGGCTTCGGTCCCTTCTTCTCCACTCTCCATTCTAGTCCAATCCTCCTCCAATCCTCTAAGCTCCAGCTTCTCTTCAAAATTTTGAAATTCACCGTCCATCGTTTGCTCATGTAACGTCCTTAACCTAATTACTTATAAAAACTTTGTATAACTTAGCCATTTTAGTTCTAGAAAACTCAATTAATCACAAAATATCACTTAGGACCGTTAAAACCTCATATTAGAAAGATTATATTTTTTTTTGGGCAGCAGGTTACACGGCCTCCAACACGATCGTGTACTTGCCCGTGTAACTTAAAACTCATTTTCCCTTGAAAACGAAGGTTACACGACCTTCCACACGGACGTGTACCTTTCCGTGTATATTTCGCCCAAAACAAGGGTTTTTCAGCCATAACACTTCAAAACCTAATCAACAACATTCTTTTCACTTATAACCCTTGGATATTCAATCAAAACTACTTTTTCTTTGTTCATAAACACGTTTCAAAACACCTTCGGGAGTTCATATTTACATAGTTACATATACAATTCAAAAATCTCTTAGGATGCATATGCTCGGCATAATGAGAGAGAGGAGAGGGAGATCGCCGACTGACTCGTCACTTATGACGTGAATTGAACAACAAAAGATGACTTTAACTTCCACTTTTTGCTTCTTAGTACCTAAAAAAATAATTGCATTTTTAATGAGATGTTACTCAATGAGAGAACAATAATCCATTGAAACCATAACATGCAATCACGTCATCCAAGTATCATCACATATAAACAATACAGGTAGTTCATATGACTCTAAGATTATATGCTTTTCTTTTTCTTATCGGTTACAACTTGGACATGTCAAGTTTCGCCCCGGTACTTGTAACTTGTAAACTTGTACACATGTATTGTCGGCCGACTTTTATAACTTGTAGTTAACCCGTTGGGTCCTTGTAAACTTGTATTTGCGAAACTTGGACAAGCCAGTCATAACCTTAACCTCTTAGTCTTGCATATATCATGAATGTTTCATATATATCATATATAACATCCATAGCTTACACCATGGTACATATCCATTATAACATCAATAAACATAACGTTTGCGTCAACTAGCAAACGACACACCATTCACATCATAGTATCAATATCAATAAACATAATATTGTTATAACATCAATAAACACAACGTTTACGTCAACTAGCAAACGGCACATCATTCACATCATAGTATCAATATCAATAAATATAATATTAGCACTCAATAGCAATAACACATCATGACACAACTATTATTATTCAACTCACAAAAATGACGTCTTCGCCGTTTATCAATGCATCGCGTCTCGCACCTCACGCTCCTCGACATCTATAAATACATACACATATACTTTTATAAGTCATTTTATCATGATCAAACTTCTAAATATGCTCAAGGTACAAAATATGACTTTAGGGTTAACTTATTTCTTTATGGGTACTTGACCCATTTTCACTCTTTCTACCATAAGTCCCAAAATACAGATTCAAATGATGCAATTCTAGTTTCACATGAAACTAGACTCATAGGGCTCTAACATGTCCAAAAATCAAGTCTAGGTACGAAATACACAACTCATGGTGAGTTTCTAAAAATCAGAGTTGCTGCCATTTCTTTATGGGTACTTGACCCCTTCATAGTTCACACTCTTTGTACTATAAATCATAAAATACGGGGTAAAATGACAAAATTCCAGTTTTACATAAAACTAGACTCAAAGGGATCTAACATATCCAAAAATCAGCCAAATATTCCATATACATGATTTATTCTATATTTTTAAACTCTAACTAGCTTCCAGCACCCTTGTTACCGAGCAGTCTCCAAACAAACAACAATAAATCTAGATTGGGACATGATCAAGACCTAATTCCTTTTTTAAAAAGAACTAGACATATCAATATAAAACATATCCAAAAATCAGGTCGAAATACTCAACACCCAAAGAATACCATATTTTTAAAGTTTGCACACTAATCTGCCAGCATCAGATCACCCAGAACAACATGTGTTCAAACCATCATAACCCGAAATATAAATCACTAAATACAAAACCCTTT